AAACCGGGGGGGGGGGGGGGGAGGTGAGTTGACTTCTCGGATCGAGAGAGTTGGCAACGTTGGCATTCTTAGAGGAAGGATAATCTATTCCGCGGAAATTCATTTGCAAATTTTTCTTCTGCTAATCGTGCTACATTCAAAAGTTGCATGTCACAGGTCTGTTAAGCTGGAAGCGTGCGCTGACTTGGCAACATTGTTATCTATTTCTAGGACTATAAATTATTTCGATTAATTCGGAAGGGAACTGCTTTTAATTACGCCTCGATTCATAACGTCGAGTCAAAGAGAATATTTATGACGGCTCCGGTGGGCTTGCTTTAGACTTGGCAACGTTGGAATGTTTTTCCGGGACCGTGAATTACCTAAATTTATTCGGAAAGAAACCTCTTACCCATTTGCTACGGTTCACTAATGTGGAATCAAAGTTTGGAGAACTTATGACACTGTTAGGGTGGGCCGTGCTCCGAGATCAAACTTGGCAACGTTGGCAATCTTCTCGTAGAAACACGAATGTAATTAAATCCCCACGGAAAGAAGCTACTTTCAATTTGACTCCGACTTATATCGTTGAATTCGAGTTAGAGGATTTATGACATCGGTAGGGCGGGCTAGCTGTGACAGGGTTACTTGGCAACGTCGCAATTAGTCAGCGCTGCCAAAGGTTCACCAATATTTGTACTGGAAGTACATAAATACGATAGAAACGTCGCCGATGTTTGTCCCCCCCTTCCCCTCCCCCCATCCTCCCGGTGGATTCTACATTCCGGAAACACATCCGCGCTTTGAAATATACACAAAGTGTAATTATGATGCAACAAATGACGGGGCCGTTTATTGAAGGTGAATTGAAGCATGAACGAGCGGCCAACTCGGCTTAACAGTTTAATAAGTTCAAGTTGAACGTCTAGTGCTTGATCGGCGGCAACGTTACAAGATACTGTTGCGTCTGCTCCGATACTGTTTCGTCCACGCATCCGATCGCGTAATCGATCGATCACCAATTTCCCAGCGTTCTACCACGAAACGATGCCAATTCTTGTTACGGTACTCGATGCACGGGTAATTTATTTGACCGTAAAAATTGTTTGCGCGGCGGGCGCTCTCGGGGGCTCCCATATTTTCCCGTGTTCGCCGATTCCGGTGATCGAAACCGATGACGGAAGGGACGCTATTTGCGTTTCCGAGAAGTGCTCGAGAAGCAACGCTGATTTCGATAATTGCACGGCCGACGATTGGCGGTCGTGTATAAGCGCCTCGTTCTCTCGATTGCGCTTCCCGGCCGCACTATTTCGTTAATCTCTCCTCGTATCGTATCGCCGCCAGAATTTTTCCATTTTATCCGAGCGCACGAGTACAACCGTTCGCCGAGAGACAATGATGCAAACGCTAACAGATAGCTACGGCAGCACTAAGATGCTGTCGAGCCGGCGCGAACCGGTTATTCGGCTGTGAACCTGAGACCCCCGAGAGATAACGCGCCGAGGAAACAAGAAGTCGGCGATAAGGCTCACATGATCCGATTGGGAAAGAGGGGCCGCCGAATGCACCGACGAAAACAAGAGAAAGCAAAGAACGGACCTAACGAAAATTTTCTCAATTTTCGATCGGAACTGTGGAAACGAGATTGAGAACCGAAGACTACAGGCGGCAGGTACTCACTATAGCGCGCCGGCATTTCGTGCACGGCCCACCAGCGATCTTAAGAACGCAGAACAGTTTCGAACAATTTGGAGAATTGCTGTTCGCATGGATTTAATGGTAATAATATGCGCGATCGCGCCGTTTCGCATTCGAGTGTTGTCAGCAAAACGGAGCCGGCGGGTCCTGCGAATAAGTATCCGGACGCGCCTCGTTATTTTAATTAATTCCCCGAAACGGCTGCGATCGCGGCGAGTGCCCCGGCAACGGCACCGCCGACGGTATACTTCTCGCGCTTTGTTAGCCCGGTTATCGATCCACTGTCAACTATTATCTCGTGCCCGTCAGCCGCCGGACGAGCATCGGTCTTGTTCCTCTCGTAATTAATCGATCGATGAAATGTTGCGAAATAACACGGAACGTGCACCCGCGACGGTTGCCCGTTCTTAGGCGCCGTCTTTCGTTTGCTATAGCGCGTGCTGCCCCACCGTTGCCTGCGCCAGACGCCTTCTCCTGAAACGTGCGACAGCTGCCACAATCGCCGACGAGACCGGTTGCAAAAATTCGTGCCGATGCTTCAAACATCTGCGAATATACGTGCGAAATGTCAGATCGATAGCTGTCACTGGTCCTTGGAGATAAATTCGCGTCTGCGGCGCTCGCGACATCGGGTCGATCTGGCGAGAGGGTTGCCTACCTCGGGCGCTTTCGCTTGGAACCTCTGGTAACTCTCCTGCAATCTTTGTCGGAATTGTTTGCAAAAAATTGTGCCGTTGCTTCAAAGATTTGCGAACGTATGTGCCGAATGTCAGATTGGTAGCTGTGAAGGCTTCTTGGAGATAAACCTCGTGTCTGCGACTTTGGGTCGACGTGGTGAGAGAGTTGCTTACTTAGGGCGCTTTCTTTTGGAATCTCGGGTAACTTCTACAATCTTTGTCCAAACTGTTTGCAAAAAATTGTGCCGATGCTTCAAAGATTTGCGAACAGATGTGCCAAATGTCAGATCGATAGCTGTGAAGGCTTCTTAGAGATAAATTCGTGTCTGCGACTTTGGGTCGACGTGGCAAGAGAGCTGCTTACCTAGGGCGCTTTCTTTTGGAATCTCGGGTAACTTCTACAATCTTTATCGAAACTGTTTGCAAAAAATTGTGTCGATGCTCCAAAGATTTGCGAACATGTATGCCAAATGCCAGATCGATAGCTGTTACTGTTTCTCAGGAATAAATTCGTGTCTGCGACAGAATTTGACGAATCGTTTGACAAATATATTCGTGTTCGAGCGGTATTCCAGAATGAAATTCGCGAAAGTGGTGGTTTTTTCGTGCTAGAATTCAACGTGTGCCGGATGGGATCCTCTTTGCGGATGATATCCTCGTGGAGGGGCCTCTCGATTCGAGTGGATCGAGCGGTTCGTCGATTGTCTGTGTCTAAAAGTAGCGGCGCCGGGATCGATACCCGGACAGAGCAGCTGCGATCTGTGTTCGTTAGCCGAGGAACAACGCGATTTTCACGGGGATGGTACTGTCCGGCTGGCCGACCGGGATTAATGTTTGATCCAGGCGCGCATTAAACGTTCCGATCGGCCGGTGCGGCGTGTGTTACTGCGGCTCTGACGTTACACGTCGTGGGATCCTACAGAATTGGAGAAATTTTGCTTTGCATTTACGTCGTGACCGGCGGGCCTCCTGCAACTTCAATCATTCATATCGTCCCCTGGTAATTGGGGATCGGATGCCGCAGAGTCTGCGTCCTTTTGAATTCTTAAAGCCTCTGACGACAACCTCTACAAAGCATTAACATCGGGCTTCGGGGATTTGAAACATGGAATTGTCGGAATAAAAGTGTACCGAGCGCGCCCCGAAGACGCTGCCAGCTCTGTGTAAACGTTCTAAGGTTATTCAAAGGCGATTATGGTTCGAGAGGGGATAAGATGTTTGTGCTTCGTATCCTTGGCGGCTACTTACGTGTTCGCGGAGAGGCCGCAGGCGGAACGATGAGTTCGCAGTCGATGCTCTTTGTTCCCATTCACAGTCGGTCGAAGTTACTTCCCATCCCAGAATGCAATAAGTGCCTCCGGGCGGCCGGCATCGATGTATCGAATAACCGCAGAACACGTTCGGCCCGTTGCGGCTTCGAATAGAAGCATATTACTCTATCCGCAGTCTTTCCTCGCCACCGGCGATCGTCCCACGGAAAGTATTGTCTAAGAGAATGGTAGTTGCGCGGCGAAATCACTTGTACCGGTGCCAAATGTCCACGCCGTGCCGGCCCGAAATTAATGCGAGTTCCTTGTCACCGGGGACTAGGCGGCTCAGGATTGCCCCGAATATTGCGAGCACCGTAAAAAGACCCGCCGTTTGCATTTCTGAGCGTGCAGCGGTCTCCCGCGCCTCCTAGCACCATCTACAGTTCCATACGAAACGTTTCACATCGCACCAATTTCCTAGCACTTCACTGACAAGGACCGATCTTGAGCAACTTGAAACACTTCTACCATCCTCTTTGCACCCATCACCACCGCGGCTTCCTCGAGACGAAAAAATTCCCGCGTGTCTCTCGAGCACCAGTCAAATTATCTCTAATGTTTCACAAAGATCCGCAACCTAGTTTCTCGAAAAAAAACTCTCAAAGTTCGCCTCAATTTGGGCGTCTCTAAGTCAGCTCGGTCTCGGCACAGTCGGTCGTCGAGGCCTCCGTGGCCTCGGGTCAGGAAATCTTCTCGCTGGTTGCCTGTCTGGCGACAGTTCTGGACACCCGGGGACTGTCGTGGGTGGAGCTAAGTCGGATTAAAGAGCTGTTCGCTTGGGCAGTGTTCAAGCCGTTCTCGTGTCTCATCTGGGTGTCCCTGGTGCAGCCCATGGCCAGGCTGACAGTTCTGCCCCTGGTCCCGCGGCAGAGCAGGAGTTCTCGAACCCCCCTGCGGAAGTTACGGGACAGGAAGGCGTAGAGCAGTGGGTTCAGGCAGGAGTTCGTGTAGGAGATGAGGAACGTGGACAGGGTGAGCAGCGTGCTGAAGTCGGAGGTCCTGTCGTAGCTGGAGTCCCAGTGTCGCCAGACGATGCGCACCTGCTGCGGCAGGTTGCAGACAGCGAACATCATCACGACGGCGATCAGCATCCTGGAAAGCGTGTCCATGCATAGACTGCGGATTTGATGCATTCGTGACAAAACAGATCGAATGCAAGATAGCAAAAACATTTGTACAATCAGAATATACAGAGGAAATTACGGTACTTTCGGGAAATGAGGGGTTCCTCGGGTCATTTGAAGCAACTTTGTTCTTTACAAAAATTTCCTCCGTGGCNTGGCGGCTACTTACGTGTTCGCGGAGAGGCCGCAGGCGGAACGATGAGTTCGCAGTCGATGCTCTTTGTTCCCATTCACAGTCGGTCGAAGTTACTTCCCATCCCAGAATGCAATAAGTGCCTCCGGGCGGCCGGCATCGATGTATCGAATAACCGCAGAACACGTTCGGCCCGTTGCGGCTTCGAATAGAAGCATATTACTCTATCCGCAGTCTTTCCTCGCCACCGGCGATCGTCCCACGGAAAGTATTGTCTAAGAGAATGGTAGTTGCGCGGCGAAATCACTTGTACCGGTGCCAAATGTCCACGCCGTGCCGGCCCGAAATTAATGCGAGTTCCTTGTCACCGGGGACTAGGCGGCTCAGGATTGCCCCGAATATTGCGAGCACCGTAAAAAGACCCGCCGTTTGCATTTCTGAGCGTGCAGCGGTCTCCCGCGCCTCCTAGCACCATCTACAGTTCCATACGAAACGTTTCACATCGCACCAATTTCCTAGCACTTCACTGACAAGGACCGATCTTGAGCAACTTGAAACACTTCTACCATCCTCTTTGCACCCATCACCACCGCGGCTTCCTCGAGACGAAAAAATTCCCGCGTGTCTCTCGAGCACCAGTCAAATTATCTCTAATGTTTCACAAAGATCCGCAACCTAGTTTCTCGAAAAAAAACTCTCAAAGTTCGCCTCAATTTGGGCGTCTCTAAGTCAGCTCGGTCTCGGCACAGTCGGTCGTCGAGGCCTCCGTGGCCTCGGGTCAGGAAATCTTCTCGCTGGTTGCCTGTCTGGCGACAGTTCTGGACACCCGGGGACTGTCGTGGGTGGAGCTAAGTCGGATTAAAGAGCTGTTCGCTTGGGCAGTGTTCAAGCCGTTCTCGTGTCTCATCTGGGTGTCCCTGGTGCAGCCCATGGCCAGGCTGACAGTTCTGCCCCTGGTCCCGCGGCAGAGCAGGAGTTCTCGAACCCCCCTGCGGAAGTTACGGGACAGGAAGGCGTAGAGCAGTGGGTTCAGGCAGGAGTTCGTGTAGGAGATGAGGAACGTGGACAGGGTGAGCAGCGTGCTGAAGTCGGAGGTCCTGTCGTAGCTGGAGTCCCAGTGTCGCCAGACGATGCGCACCTGCTGCGGCAGGTTGCAGACAGCGAACATCATCACGACGGCGATCAGCATCCTGGAAAGCGTGTCCATGCATAGACTGCGGATTTGATGCATTCGTGACAAAACAGATCGAATGCAAGATAGCAAAAACATTTGTACAATCAGAATATACAGAGGAAATTACGGTACTTTCGGGAAATGAGGGGTTCCTCGGGTCATTTGAAGCAACTTTGTTCTTTACAAAAATTTCCTCCGTGGCTTCGTTCACGAGTTATTAACGAGAAACAGTGACCAATCAGAGGCGAGATCGACAGGCGCGAGGCGGCTGAGTCAACGAGCGGCCGAAGTCCAGTTGCGCTGATTGGCTCGGCCGTCTAGCGCTATGCGAGCTCGTCTCTCATTGGTCACTGTTTTTCGTTAATATCTCATAAACGAAGCCCCGGATTGCATTTTCGCTGAGGAAAAAGTTGCTTCGAATGATCTCAGGAACCTCCTATTTCTCGGAAGTACCATAATTTTGGGACACTCTGTATATTATCGTATCATCGTCAATTAGAACGATCGAGAAAAGAACTAAAAATGCAACTTTTATTTATCATAAAAATCCGCGGTCCAATCATGAATTCCCGAGCATGAACCCGGCAAAGCGTACCTGATGACGCCGCGTCTGTCCCTGAGGACGTTCCTGCTGGAGCTGCGCACGTGCTGGACCCCGTCATGCCTGATCCTGGTCATTCCAGGGGCAGTTAATGTAGCCCCGCTTCTCCACAGTCCAATGGCGATCCTCGAGTACAGGCATGTCATCAGTCCTAGGGGCACGAGATACAGGAAGACCAGGTTCACCGCGTCCAGGACGTTCTTGTTGTGTTTCTTGATGTTCGCGACGCAGATGATGTCCACGTCCCCGGTGATCAACCGGTTGCTCACCGTCTCGACGTAGAAGAACCTCGGCGAGGCGTAGACCGCCGCCATCAGCCACACCACGGCCACCACCAGCCTTAGACGTCGTCTAGTCAACACGGACCTGCATTTGATCGGGTAGACGATGGCTAAATACCGTTCCACGCAGACCAACACCAGGATCAGGACACTCGCGGTGTAGGACAACGCGTGGACGAACATGTAGACCTTGCAGAGGAAGTTGCCCAGCTGCCAGCTGTTCGTCAGGTAGTTGGTCAGCGTCTGGTAGACGCAGAACACGCCCACGCACAAGTCCGCCACCGCCAGGTTCGCCAAGAAGAAGTTCGTGATGCTGCGAAGCCGGCGCGAGAAGCTCACCACAAAGATCACCATCAGGTTGCCTGGGAAAAGGTTGTTCTGAGAGGGTCTCGTCTGTCCCGAGTGGGCGACGACTGTTCTAAATGACAAAGGTCGGGTCTACATGCGTCAGAGTTAACCCGTTGCACTCGAGTGGCGAGTCTGAGGCGCCGCTAAAAATTGTTATACCATTTTTCGAAATAATTGTAACGGTATCAGATTTGTTATGTTTGGAACAATTGTTGGAACTGCAAGTGTTGTACTTTCCAATAGGCACAATTTCGTATGCATAAAGTGCATTGAATCATACGAAATGGAAATACCGTAGATCAGGAAACATCTTTTGGATTTCGAATTAAAATAGCTTCGGGTTCTGCAAAGGGTTAAGTCTGAGAGTGAAACTCTCGAGAGTTGCTCTATAGTTTCGCATATGCGGGACCCGCCAGTCCCCTTACCCTTCCCCGCATCTTGTCTAACTTTTTGCGGAGGCTCGAGTCGTACTAAGGCGATGCCCTGAATAATTATTTCCCGCTCTGAACACTTACTGTGGCCTACAAAATTGTTCCTACACCTTTTAAAACGCAATAACTATTTTAAAATTACTATTTTAATAACTATTTTAAATTCGAATTTTTTTTGGATGATAGAGGAACTAGTCTATTAGTCGATGATGAGGGTCTTTATTTTTTTCTTTTCATTCCAAGTAATAGCAGAATTTAAAAAACTCTTTTCAGTCATCGTCTACTAGACTAGCCTCCCTTAACACCTAAAAAAAGTTCAAGTTATTTGATTTAGTTTTGAAAAAGCGTTTGGAAAAGCGTTTTGAAATGTGTACGAACACTTTTGTGGGCCACTGTATATCCTGCCCTAAATAGGTGTAGTTACACGCCGCCTTAAATGATACCGTGCCGTCTTGGACGCTTACATTCTGCCCCAATTAATATACCCTGTTCTTAATAACTTTGCACCGTCCTGAATAGTAATTCTCCCTCTTAACACTTAGCCAACCCAACAGGGAGATCTCCCCGTTTTAAATTCAGTCGATTGATGACCGTATGTGGAAATCTTCCACTTCTAATATCTAAAAATAAAAAAGTGATTACTTAATTTTACCAAGATTTGCAAGAGGTACGAACGTTGAAGAAGTAATTGATGCCATATAAGCTTGAATTGCAATTTTTATTTAACTGAATGAAATACTTTAATTTTACGAAATTTTTAAGGTAATAATAACAAGGTAATAATAATAATCGAGGTAATAATTGAAGTAATAATGTCCCGCCCTGAATAGGTACGCCACGCCCCGAGAACGCGTGGCCACCTGTAAGCAGGCGTGTCCGGCGACGAGTGAGCGTGGTTTAGCAGCTCCGACGGAATTCGGAACAGATACGCCACGCCCAGAGTACGTGTGGCCACCTGTAAGCAGGTGTGTCCAGCGTCGAGTGGGCGTGGCTTAGCAGCTCCGACGGAATTCGGAACAGGTACGCTACGTCTCGACTACGCGTAGCCACCTGTAAGCAGGCGTATCCGGCGTCGAGTGGGCGTGGCTTAGCGGCTCCGAATTCCGTCGGATCCGGCCGCCGTCGCATCGGGCATTCTATGCAGTCGCCGTGGCGGAATTCCTAACGTGTCCCTCGCACCAGGCAGCCCGAGAAACAAGTGATTACGAAGTTTCCGCGATTTTTCACGACCGCGGCGGCTAACTTCGACGGAATCGCATTGGCCTCGTTCCCGTTTGCATCCGCTCGTGGGCCCTCCGCCGTAAATCCGGCGCTCTCTGCGTCCATCCTTGTTCGATGGCGGAGGACCGAGCTCCCCTTCGGAGCCGGACGGTGGCTTTTATCGACCATCTCAAGGGAGCCGAGACGATAAATTGAGACGTGCCAATCTATGCTCGTCTATGGGCCAGTTTGCTTTGGATAAGTTAGAACCTTGTCCATGGTTTATTGATGGCGGCGCGGCCGACTGCGTCCTGCTCGACCCGGTGGACAGCCGGTAGCTAACGATGCGATTGCTATCTCACGGCCGTTCGATCGCCGGCGTCGTATAGCAAATTGGACTTGGAGGAAAGAAGTGTACGTGCCTCGTTAAACGACTCCGGTTTGCAACTGGGAACGCGTCCCGGACCAATTCCTTCCCGTGGCTCTTAGTCACTCGCAGAAGGGAAATCGCGGCTCTCCTCCGGAAAATTGTGCTCGAACCGGCGCGACGGCCAGGTGAAAACGTGTCGGCGCATATTTCCCTGTTCCACTCGGATAGCTCTAATCAGAGTAAATTAATTAGTTGCGGCAGCTGCGCCAGCATATGCCCGTGGAGCTTCTTGCGTTCCTCCTGTCGCGGCTATTTCATAATTAGCAATTTAATAATTGCTAATCCGCCAACGGAAACAAAGGATCACGGATTCTCAGACAGCCTTCTCGCGTCTGTTGTTGTCGTTTCTCATTATGCTCATCCGGATATCAGCCGCCTCTTTCCAGCATGCTGCCGCGTACTCGGCCAAATCGTTCTCTTCAGCGATACCTGTTTGAATCTCCGAGGGGATCTAGCGCCGGCCTCGATCAGCAAACGGCCGACTAGAGGCAAGCTGTCAGCGATCCTTGTTCCGGGCACGCGTGAAATCGTTTTAAAAGCTGTCGTCGGAAATGACGCAACCATCGCGCCCCGTCAAAGACGGGAACGCGTTTCGATGATCGCGAGCCCGGCGTCTCGACTGCAACGCTATCGACACTTTCCTATTTCTCGCGATTGTCCTCCCGGATCCGCATTTCCTCGGCAACGCGACCTGTTTATTCGATGAGGCTTCACAGTTATGCTCTTTCTTCTGACTTCCCCCGGGTACAGACCGCTGCGAAATCAGCCCGTCGAACCGTGCCGCACCGCGCGAAGGAACTTCCGAGAATTATTTGAATCGGTTCCGATCGATCGATTGTAGGTTCGTCAATTTGTTCTGCGGACACGTGGCTTCGACGACGCGTTCGTTGAACGGGCACGGGGAGAGAAGTTTTCCAGCGGACTGTACGCCGATCGACAGGTAGAAACGCGCTTCTCCATGGGAATTTTTACCCCGGCGTTTTTCACTCGATTTCCATAACTTGAGTTACGTCTCGCGCCTCGCGGACCAACTTGTCCACGGGCGAAGCCCGGCGCGTTCGACTCCTGAATACCGATAATCAAAAGTTTCGCGACGTCCTGCGCCAGCCGGGGGAAAAGAATACAGCGGGAAATAACTACGCTCGATCGTTCAAGAGTACTCGATGCAGCTTCCTCGGCCGTGCTCGAAAACTTCGTTGCTCGTTTCTTAATTTTTCGCCGGCGTTTTTATGTTTCAACTGAAGCCTGCGGCCATGTCGAGTCACGGTCTCGCGTCGGTCCTTTGACATAGAGCGACGCAGAGCTGGCATTATGTGAAGGAAAGATAGAGCTAGCTACTGGCGAAAGAGGACCGGCGATAGTTCAATATAGTACCTCAAACATTTCACGATTATATAATGTCTTGCAAATGTTTTCCATTTTTCTGTTTTATTCTCGTGTGACACAATTTGATCACGGGGCGTATATTGTCTTTATAGAAGCCTTAGGCAAAATATCTTGCATTTTTTTGACAGAGAATTCTTTAACTTTCAAAGTGAAATAAGGCTCATTGTGCTACGATTTCTTTTGAAAAAGTTACAGTACTTTGAACATCGTCAACTTTCTCCCTATTATTCTCGCGGATCGTGGAACAGCTTCGATTGAAACCATCGCAGAATGGCCGCATAAAATCGTAGGTAAATGTTCTTGGACTCGTTTCAAAGAGGAAACTTCGCTCTTTAAAACGAGCCTGGGGGCATTGTAGCACGATTTTTTTTTATCTATGTGACGAAATTTTTACGTCCTTTAAACGCTGATTTCTCACTTCTGATTCGATGCGCCACGAAACGTTAACAAACAATTCTGCAACAAAGCTCTCGAGCTCATTGAAAAGAGGAGATTCGGGCCTTTAAAACGCGTACGGTTAGAATGTCATAAGAATTTTTTCGGCGAAGTACCGGGAGCTGAAATATCTAAAATTTCCTGCTACTGGTTTACAATCACTCATCGAGGATTCAGGTTATCTCCTTAAGGGGAGCACGTTTCTCAGCTCCAACACTCTCCCGACCGCCGAACTTTCAGCCAGACGCGTGGCAAATCCCATTCGATCCAACGAAGCTCAAAGAACACCGAGGAAACGACGTTCGAGTGGTGTTTATAGACAGTGAGATCTTACCGCGTTCCATTAGACAGTCTTTAATAAAATCCGAGCAGCCCGCGTTTGTAATTCATCCCACGTAGCGAAAGCAATCACGACGGTATCCCGGCGAAAGCCTCGATCACCGAATCGGGAAACGATCGATCCCGATGCTGATTATTTTCAATAGGGAGCCTTCTTCCGTCGCGGAATAACATGCGAGCGTAGCACGGACCAAAGACGACTTTCATTCGAGAAACGTTTCCAGTCGCGGGTAAACACTTTACTCTGTAACGTGATTACGAAACTCGAGAGGAATAGCACTCACTGGCTCGGCGGTGGGCGGGCCGGGTGGCGTTGTGTCGACGGAAACTTGGATGAAAAAGTCGCCGGAATACCGGGAGATTCGCGGGACAAGAATAGGGAAAGTCGCGAACAGCCGAATTGAATCTTATTAAAGCCTGTTCGAGTGGGCGGCCTGCGTAATGCTGTGTCCCCCGGCCCGCCCGCCCGCCGCGTATTTTATGATTTCGCCCGTCGGCTGACACCCGCGCCGGTATAATGAGTTTCGGTTCAACCGTCCGACCGACCGACGGCACATAACGATTAGAGAGATTAAAGTGAAACTCGACGGAAGTGCTCCGCGAGCGTCAAGTTTCCCGTATTTTCCGAGACTTCGTGAAACGGCTGGGGGTTTGCACAGGCGGGCCAAGCGCAGGATGAAAATCCGCGGCGAGCCGGGTTCCCGCGACACTCTCGAGATTCCACTGTTCCGCGATTCCGGGTAGACCAATCCTCTGTCTCGCAGTGCTCGACCTACGACGCCTTGGAATATGCTCCGATTAAAAGGCTAGCATTTCTTCGTTCCGTCGACGCGGTCACGCGACACTGTCCTGTTGGCCGTAACTTAAGCCCCGCCCGGCAGGCTCCGCGCGAAGCAAAAATCTCGGTTGACGGCAGTCCGGTGGGCGGAGCCGGCGAAGAAGGGCGGAGTCTATTCGCGCGCGTTTTTCTCGGCTCCGCCCTATCGCCGGTGGCATCACCTGGCAGACTTCCATCTGCCGAAACTTTTGCTCCGAACTGTTCTCATCGGGTCCCATTAATTCGATCTAATCCTTTCGATCTTGCTCCCGATAATCGCCTTTTCTGGATCGCTCGCCCCGGCGCCGGGTCCTCGCCCTTTCCAGCCTCCAATTACCTCGTTTACCGTTGCGTAAGTTCTCTAATCAGGAAAATCCCGGGTGAAAGTTTCAATGAGACGCCTCCGCGCTCCGCAGCTATTCGGTCGGCGACGAAATTACCGTCGTTAAGTCCATCGAGCGTGTCAAGGCGACTGTTCGCTCCACAAACACCCGGATATCCGGAGGCTCTAAAGGGGCCATTGAAGAATCTCTCGCCGTCGTCGGCTATTCGTTATTTCAACGCGTTTCACCGGGATAGCGATTCCGCGCGATTAAAGCCGCGGAAAAACTCGGATGGGCGGGCCTGCGGCCGCCGGCGGACTGGGCGGGGCGGGCGGGCACGACGCCGGCTCCTCGGCAGCATTCTGCCGTTCTAGGCTCCTCGGACAATTTTGCTTTTTGCTCCTTTCATCGGGGACTAAACGAATTTTCATAGGATGACACGGCAGACGTCCATTCGACCTGGACGCGAAATTTCATTTGCTCGGCGATTTTAGAGAGGCGACGATTACGCCGCTCTGCTAATAGCTGGCTACTGCTCCGTGTACAGAGCGAGCAGAAACTCGGAAGAGGGTCGAGTCTACGTAGAAAAATGAAACAAAAGCGTAGAATAATGTTTTTGCTTCTGCAGAGAAATTCGGTTGGAAAAATAATACTATCGAATAGCAATCGAGCGGCGCGTCTCGCCATAACAATTCCATTTCTCGTCGAGCTACAGGCCAACTGAACTCGACGCATCTTGCAAACTATAATAGCTTTCTCGAAAACGCAGCCTTGAATGGAGAAATGTTACTCTTTCTTTTCGACTGATTTTTATGAATATAAAGTGTTCCGTCTTCCGGTTGTTGTTGCTGACCATCCGGTACAGCATTTAATTGCTCCAATTAAGCGAACGATCCAAGAAATTTTCAGTCGGACGAAATTCTGTACGAACACCGAAAGGATTGTCGCAGCGCATTTCACCAATTTCTGTCCTCCTTTCTCCCCGTCTTAATGTTTCGCGCGCTATCGCATCCGCCGCTTATTTTCCACGTTTCGCTTCATCTTTCTTCTCGCCCCGCTTTGCCCCGGCACCTGACGCCGGCCCGTTCGCCCAGAACAAGCTTCCGCGACGTGTAAAAAAAGCAATTTCGCCGCAACGGCAGTCGCGTCCCGTGGAAATTCGAATGAAACGTAAAACGCGCGCCCAACCGGGCACGGGATTCTGATCCAGACGGATTCGACGTGCGTGCTGCGTGCTCGAGATTTTTCACCGGCCGGACAGCGACATTTCGTTGTGGCAAAAAAAAAAGAAAGAAAATGATTTCGGCCCGTTCGTTTCTTTTAATTGGATTCGGCCCTTTCCTTTCTCCGCGGGCTTTCGGCCCGGACAAACGGCAATGCAATTTTCGCGACGTATCTTTCGAATTTGTTGAACCACGGCCACGGCTAATTTCTATTTAACTACGAGTTCGCGTCGCTTTCCGTGCTTCCAGGCTTCCGAGACCAGGTCCGACCGGGGAAACAATGCGAAATTGCAGATGAATCGCGGCGTCGATGTACGAGGCGATCCGTCGAACTCAATTTCGGTCGGTAACGTCGCGCGATCGATCACGCGACACGGCCCCGTTAATTCCGCGAGGGTACGTGTTTCGAAACGGGTGCCTGATGCCGAACGGGCGGCTGATTTGAAAAACAAATTAGTCCGTGCCCGAGGAAACGAATCGGAAAGATCCCGCCAGCCTTCCGGCAGATCGGCCCGAGGGGGGAACGCGGGCGGAAGATTGCCGTTATCGATTTCGACTTTGTTTGCGAGCGCTGGTCGCGCGCCGATACATCTTAATTCAGCGACGCAGCGAATCCGGTCTTCGTTATTTTTTAATTGCTGGCCCTCGAACTTCCAGCAGACGACATTATTTCCTAATTAAAAATTAGTTTCGCCCCGCGGCCGCGCCGCGCCGTGAATATCGAGTGAAATACTTCGCCCCACGGTACGTTCGGAATTTTTGCAACGGCGCGGCGGCGCGCCGCCGTACTTCACTCCGCTGCTAAAGGCATTTCGCGCATTTCAACTACCGCTAAATACATTTCCCCGTCGCCAAATGAACAACCGTATGCTAATGAGAAACTTCTGTTAAAACGATGGAAAAATCCGTCGTCGCGACGGAGATTACATTTTCATTCCGCTGTCTATTGCTCGTTTTTCACCAAATATTCCACTTGTTCGTCCGCCCCCCCCCCTCTGGCCCGAGCTGTACCCGCTTCAAGCACGTTAATAATAATTGCGCCGGGAATGTTCGGACAAAGCAGTCGACCATTACTGAAATTAAAAGCTTATTTCTCCGCCTTATATCAGTAGACGCGGGGCTAATAACTTAGCAACGCTAATGGTCTACTGTGCCGTGCTAGTTTGCGAGACCCGTGCTTTGTCAATGCTTAACGAATCCGTGCGGCTACCGACGACGCGAATGTTTTCGATAAAGTAACTTAGGTCACTCGGCCGAGAACTGTTCGCCCTTTAAAATGCGATTAGGCCCGTTTTAATACGATCTTCTCCCGCGAAGTTACAGCACTTTAAACAACGTCAACTTTTCGGCCACATTTAATAAAGTCTTGTTACGTAATTTGGGCCTCATTTGTTTCATTGAAAGCGATGTAAAATGGTACAAAGAAAATCGCAGGACGACGATTTTGGACTCGTTGGAAAGGGGAGACTTCGTTTTTGATAACCAATGTGGTTTCGGGGGCAGACAAAATTTGTTGATCTCTCTAGAAGTGTTTGAAGTTGAAAAATGGTCGACGAACGACCATCTTTGCTCATTATAGGAATAGTAAGAACATCAGAATTTCTATGAATAAAACAACTCACGCCAGTTTAAAGAGAAATCTTTGCTCTTTAAAATGAGATAAGGATCATTGCTCTACGATTTTTCTCCAAGAAGTTACAGTACTTCAAACATCGTTAATCTTACGGCTAGCATTTAACGAGCCACGTTACAAAAAGTCGATTTTACCCTTTCCCTTCAAGGTATCGTAAAATGCCAACGTAAAATCGTAGATAGATGTTCTTGTACTGGATTTAAAGGGGAAAGATTATCCTTTAAAACGAGCCTAGGTACGTCGTCCTACGATTTCCTTTTACAGGGTTACAGTAGTTACCTTTCTCAGCATCACTCAGTAAGCAAATGTCAGAACGTCGATTTCAGACTTTTGATTCGAAAGGCCACAGAATGGCAACGAAAGATCGTAGAACAAAGTTTTAGAGCTCGTTGGAGAGAGGAGGTTTCGCCGGTTAAAACGAGCGGAGTTAGAGCGTCGTAAGATCTTTTTTTTGTACGAAATTGCAGGGACTTAAGTATCTAGAATTTTGTGGGTTGCAATGACTCACCGAAGAAGCAACAGACGAACACAACGGTGTAGAGCGTGATGAATATCACTCTGACGTCGGTCCTGTCGAAGATGTAGTCCTCGATCAAGGATACGTTCTGCAGGAGAGTTTCGTTCCGTATAAAACTCTCGTTGCTGCGGATCTCGTAGAGTATCGCGTCGCGGTGCTCGATCATTCTGCAACAAATCGCGGGAAAGTTCGTTTCGTACGGTCTTCCCTCCGCGCGCCCTAATTTTAGGAGAAATGCCGGGATCTTTCGGCAACTTTTCCACTCCCGTTCCCAAAGTACGTTTATTCCGACGCGACGGCCGCCGTATCAGCTGCGCTCTCGAGAATTTTCAAATACCAGCGCGGATCTTCGAACAGCTTCCTACCAAACGTTTCGTAACATATCGCTGGAACGTTTCGAACCCATGCAAAAGTCCGCTTCATTTTTATTCAACGTTGCGAACGCAGCTAAAGAATATCTCAATTCGGGTCCGCGCTCGACGTTAAATTGGTTCTCAATAATATCCTGTAAAACGGAAGTAGCTCCTTTGCCATTCGAGTTCCACGGTTTAATTAAACTTCAATTTTCATTGTTATTTCAATGATTGCGATTGCTTGCCGAAGCTTCGCCCGTCTCGCAGAAACGTGAATTTCGCGCGCAATTCAGTATATTTCTCTAGCATACCGAATATTCGACGCAGCGAAAATTTTTCTATGTTCCAGGGAATATTAATAAACCCGTCGATGGAACATGCAGCCTTTGGTGCGTCGAATTGGATTTTAGCAGCGACCCCGAGAACGGCGCGTTTAAATCATGGGAGAACTTCTTCCGGATGAAGAAATAACGACGAAGAATTACGGAGGATCCGGTATTTGGGGAAAAAACACGCGAACGTATAAATCCGTCGGCCATGGTTAAACAAAATGCAACGACTAAGGACAGCCGAGTTTTTAGGTAACCGGCGATATTTATAGCTGGCCGTCGAGGTGTTCCAAATGGACCTTTGATTTATGCAAAGCGGTAACATGGCGTGTTATTTAACGGTCTGCAAAACCGCTCCATAGGAGCACGAAATCTCCATCGAAATAGCGGAACGAGGACCATGCGTGTTTGCTGGCAGAACAGTGGACCAGATAAAACGTGTTTCCGATTGTTCCTCCCGAGGCTGCGTGTCGATTATTTTCGCATTGTTTGCGCCCACGTAGACGGAGTTTTCTATTCGACTTCGATAAACAACGGACGTGCTGATAGCGCGGCGTCGCGCGCCCGAATTTCACCACCGAAAGTTCGATCCGTGGGATTATCGTGCATCGATCTCGCATTAAGACGGTCCCCGGTGGCACATTCCGTTGACACAACCACGATCTCGGCGGATAATCGATCATCGATTTATCTGTCACGTAGCTCTCCAGTTGATACAGGCCGATAAGAATCAGGGGAAAACCTCGCGAGAAGCTTTAATTTCGATATTAATCGGCTGTCGTTAATTGCATCGGCATTCGGATCTCGCTGATCTGACCGCCGATCGGGTGCGTGTATTCAATAAATAATGACGATAGTCGACTATTGACGGCAACACACCAGTTACTAGCTTACTGGGTTAATGGAGGCATGAACATGTTCCGCGAGGTTCTAATCATCGATTAAGGGCGCCGATTGTTTCAGGAGTCGAGCATGATCTAGTAACTATTTGCATTTTGAATAGTGGATATAACAGTCTTCATGTTTCATATATGGTAATAGTTCGGAGGCCGGGACTAACACGGATCTGGAGAGGGATGTTCCGCCTTTAAAATGAGCGTAGACTCACTGTACGACGACCTTTTTCGACGAAGTTATACTTCCTTGAAGATCGAGAAGTTCTCGCCTAGTAGACAGTTCGAGTATTTGACCCATATTCGTCAGGTTCTCGAGTGTTGGCCTCACACTTTAGATTCAAAATACCGTAGATCGATGTTCTTGGGCTCGTTGGAAAGGGGAGACTTCGTGCTTCAAGATACCTGTGCTTGGATTCGACAGAAAAATTTTTTGAACTCGTCCGAGATCTCGGAATTTGCGAAATGGTCCAAAGAGGGGAATCGCTACTGAAATTGCGATTATCAGTGACAAAAACATTCTATAACAGAATGACTAAGGCTGTTTCAAAACGCATTTTATAAGCTTTAAAATGAGCTAAGGCTCGTTAATCTATGATTTTTTTTCGAGCAGTTACGGCACTTTAAACATCGTCAATCTTGTATCTAACAATTAATGAGTCGCCCCACAAAATTTCGATTTTACACTTTCGATTGAAAACGCCATAGAATGGTAAGAAAAAATCGTAGATCGATGTTCTTGGGCTCGTTGGAAAGGGCAGACTTCGTGCTTCAAGATCTCTGTAGTTGGATTCGACAGAAAAATTTTTTGAATTCGTCCGAGATCTCGGAATTTGCGAAATGGTCCAAAGAGGGGAATCGCTACTTAAATTGCGATTATCAGTGACAAAAAAATTCTATAACAGAATGACTAAGGCTGTTTTAAAACGCATTTTATAAGCTTTAAAATGAGCTAAGGCTCGTTAATCTATGATTTTTTTCGAGCAGTTACGGCACTTTAAACATCGTCAATCTTGTATCTAGCAATTAATGAGTCGCCCCACAAAATTTCGATTTTACACTTTCGATTGAAAACGCCATACAATGGTAAGAAAAAATCGTAGATCGATGTTCTTGGGCTCGTTGGAAAGGGCAGACTTCGTGCTTCATGATACCTGTAGTTAGATTCGACAGAAAAATTTTTTGAACTCATCCGAGATCTCGGAATTTGCGAAATGGTCCAAAAAGGGGCATTGCTACAGAAATTGCGATTATCAGTGACAAAAAAATTCTATAACAAAATGACTAACACCGTTTCAAAATGCATTTTATACTCTTTAAAATGAGCTATGGCTCGTTGATCTATGATCTTTTTTCGAGAAGTTACGGTATTTTAAACATCGTTAAACCTGTATCTAGCAATTAATGAGTCACCCCACAAAATTTCGATTTTACACTTTCGATTGAAAACACCATAGAATGGTAAGAAAAAATCGCAGATCCATATTTTTGGGCTCGTTGCAGAGAGGAGTCTCCGTTCTACGAAACCATGGTGGTTTTACTTCTTAAAAAAATTTGTTCGACTTTGCAGGGATGTTCGAATTCGTACAATTATCAATAACGACGATGTTTGTTCTTCTCTCTATTTTTCAGTGCAAAAATTCTGTTGACTAAAATAACCTAGTTAGGCTAAAAGTGGAGATTATCCTCCTTAAAATTGGCCGAGATAGTTCTCCGTACGATTTTTGTTCTCGATGTTGGAATAGTTCAAATATCATGAATTTTTTTCGTAAATCTCTGCGAACCTTACTGCATCGCTGGTGGCTCACTCTTCCTGCGAAGCGCAATAAACTAGGAACAAAAAATCGTGGCCCAGTGTTTTTGGTCCGGTTGAAAAGAGGAAATTTCAAGCTTCAAATTCACGGTAGCTTTATTCAAAGCTAAATCTTTTTTTAGGCTTCAGAAGTCCGCGAGTTCGAAAAATGGTAAAAGGAAGTACCACTTCTGTATGTCGTGCGTGTACCGAACAAAAAAGATCCTAAAAGGAAACAACTGGCGTGTGTTTAAAGAGGAATCTTTGCTCTTTGAAACGAGCCCAAACACATCGCCCTACGATATCTTTCGACGAAGTCACGGTACTTGGAATATCGACAATGATGAAACCGGCTAATGAAATGAACCGAGATCCCGAAGAATCAGTCGCGACTAAAATAGAAAAATAAATGTTCGAGATGAAATATCGCCAATTGAGTGTACTTTTCGTACGTTATTGGGCGAATCGAAGTTATGTGAATCGAGTTGCAGTTATCCGATCAAAAATTGTACACCGTATTTCAAGAACAAACGTCAAGATCGACGAGATCGACTTAATTCGCAATAATGCGTAATCTCGCTGCGATCTTATACAAAACAGCACGTAAATATCGCTGAATGTTTCATGAAAATCCCCTGTCCCGAAAAGTGACAGATTGGTGGATAAGGAACTAGGATGCGCGGCGTGTTGAATTTTTGACGACCACGACAAGAGTTTAACACGGTGTTTAAACATTTTCGGCGACCCGTCGCGCAATGAATAATACATCGCGCAAATATGTTCGGCATCCCGTCGAAGACGTACGCGACGAGAATTAATTGAAATCTCAATTTCGATTAAAACTTCCCGGCTCCAGTAAATAATCAATAGCGTTTAATATTGACCAGGCAGTATATTTGTCGACATTAATAATCAATCTCGTGCCCATAAATACGCTCTGCTAAGCTACGTCGTTGTTAGTCCATCGCCAAATCGTTTACCAATCTCGTCGAAATTTTAGCAACAATGATTCGCTTTTCTCTAATCCTTCGTCATCTGATTATTTCATGCAGATTACGCCTAGATAATTGCTGTCCATTTCCAGCCCTGTTTTCAGTCATGTTTAGCCGTCGCCGGTCGATTGGTTCCTCGGTAATTCTTCGTAATTTGATTATTGCGCGAGAGTTTTAACAAATCCCGGGTAATTGCTATTCGTTGTACGCACGGCTCTCAGTAATTTTTAACCATCCAACGGATTCGACGTTCAGCAACTTTTTCACTCGATTATTTCGCACAGATTTCAGTGAACATTTCCTGGTACTGTTTCCAATTATTTTTACCAATCGTGTTACAAAATGTGGTCTTTTTCATTGTTGATTCAACGTGTCATAAAATGGTAACAAAAAATCGTAGATCGACGTTCTTGATCTTGCTGGAAAGAGGGATGTTCACCCTTAAAAATTACCTAAAACGCATTGTCCTACAATTTTTTTCCGAGAAAGTACAGAACTCTGAGCATGTTCAATTCATTGTCCAAAAATATCAAGAAGTGACGATTTCAAACTTTTGATTCAAAGTGCTATACGATAGTGAAAAAATTGCAGATCGTCGTCCTTGGTCTCGTCCGAAAGAAGATATTTCACACTTCAAAATGATCTAAAACACATTGTCCTACGATTTTTTTTTGAAAAAGTACAGAACTCTGAACATGTTTAATTCTTTGCTCAAAAATATCAAAAAGTAACTACTTCAAACTTTTGATTCAAAGTGCTATACAGTAGTGAAAAAAAATCGCAGGTCATCGTCCTGGTGCTTGTCCGAAAGAAGATACTTCACCCTTTAAAATGAGCCTAGATACGTTATTCTACTATGTTTTTTCCAGACAGTACAATCCTCTGAACACGGTCCATTTTTTGCCAAACATTTAGTGTGCAGTCAGAAAATGCAGATTACCCTGTTTCGATTCAATATATCACAGAATGTTAACAAAAAATCATATTATAAATATTTCGTACTCGTTGAAAAGAGGAGATTTCGCGCTTTAAAACCAGCACAGTTAGAATGTCGTGCGATTTTTTTTCTATACAATAGCACGAGCTCAATATCCACGATTCATCGAACATACGGTTCGTGATGCGCATTGTTGTCAGTAATTTTAAACAATCTACCAGATTCGGCGTGCAGCAATCTTTCGCTCGATTGTATCACGCAGAACATCGTATCCAGAAATTTTATATAATTCCCGTACGTATAATTCCGTATGAATGTATAATCTCCGCGACGAATCAACGACGATCTCACCTGGCCTCCTCAGGGTCCACTTCCGGCGCAGACATTATCTAGCTCAGTTCTTCCACGGCGAGTCCCGTTTCTTGCGAGATACAATCAGCGTCGAGACGCGGCTGTCCCATCCTTCTGTCCGCGCTCGCGACTCGCATTTCGCCTTTTAATCCGCGGCCCCAGTGTTCGCCGCACACGACCCGAAAACTCTCGACCCCTATACCCGATCCCACGGCGACGAACAAGAATCAGCCGTCTTTTTAATTACCGGCAGCGTCGCGGCCCGCGATTCATTATTTCGCGCGATCCCGCCGAAACCTATTTAAACCGGCCGGGTCCACGATCAAGGATTAATGAAAATTGATTCGCCGCGCACCGCCGCGTAACGATGACTGATTTATGCGACCAACGGATTAATACAACCGCGACCGGCGACCGCACTAATAGACGGTTCTGACAATCCGCAGTAATTAAGGGTTAGCTAATTGCCGGCCGGATTCACGGTGTCCGTTCGGCCGGTTGACGAGTTAATGCGTCGCGATTGCTTCGTCGCACACGCGTTCACTTCCACCGCGACGCGTCAACTCGTCGCGCTCCAATCGTCCACCGACGACGCATCAGCTCGTCGTGTCTCTGTTCCCGCCGACGCGTCGACTCGCAACCACCGCCGACGTATTAACTCGTCGCGCACGTGTCCGACGACGTGTCAACCCGTCGACGAGTTAACACGCCGCGCGAAGTGCCCGCGGACAACTGAACTGGCCGCCGTTCCAGCGAACGATCTACCGATTGTTTTACACGTCCGACGTGTTAACTCGTCGTCGACGGGAAACGGACGCTACCGATCGTCGTTCAACACGTTCGACTAGGTTCGAAAATGCATTTTTATCGCGATATATCGAACTTTTCGTTTAACCGAACGACTTGGATTTCGCGGGAATGTTTGGAGTGTTGATCGTCGGCAACGGATAACCGAACGTGTTTCGCGGCTCGCTGACGGATAAATGGATCCGGAAAGGATCGATCGGAAGCACGATCCCGCGACACTGTCCCGCGCGGTACTGAGAGAGCGTTCGGGCTTTTCATTCATAGCCGTTAGCCCGTGAGCTGACCGAGATGTCCGGGGTTTCGCGCAGGCGTTACATCCACTTCCGTCTGGTTCCTTTTCCTTCGGCGGCGTGTGCGGAGTCAAAGGGAACCGTTCGCCCAGGCCGGGCACGATTTTTGTTTGGTTTCCGGAATCGATAGCGACGGCACACCGGCCGCCGGATCGCCGACGATAAACGTCACAATGGCCCCGCGATCGAGCCGCGATCGCTCCTGCAAAGAGACCGCCGTGCAACCGTGTTTTCCTATGCAATGGAACGTATCAATTGCCTGCAGTACCTGCTTCACGGCTGGTTCGCGCGGCAATCTATGCGCGTTTCCGGATCCATGCCAACCAGACTGCAGACTAAACTCTCACAACTCGCTCTATTCAATCCGGAACGACAAACGTACACAATCGGACGATCAGAAATCTCGCGCAGATTTCTCCCTGACAGCAATTTCTCCCTAATTCGCGCACAAAAGTGGACAATTTGGGGAGCGAAGGTACGATTATTCGTGCCTCGCGGCTCGCTTTTATACCTGCTGACAATCTTTTCGAGGGAAATGCATTATACAGGGAAAAAGTAGAGATTTCAGGCTTTAAAATGAGTTCAGTCTCGTTGTTCTGCGATTTTTATTCACGAAGGTGCGGTATTTTGAATGTCGTCGATGTTTCGAAGGTTACAAATTTCGTGTGAAGTCTGGAACGAGGTTTCCTCATCCATCGTGTCGCGAATAAATTTTTTTAAAGAAATTGACGAACGGCCTTCGAAAGTAGATACTTCGGGCTTTAAAATGAGCCGAGTTCCATTGTCGTATGATTTTTTTGCGCAAAATTATAGCTGTATGAATATCAACAATTTTTTCGAGAATTTGAAACTTCGACGAAAATAGTAGACGGCTCGTTTTTATAGTTACCAATTGTCAACACAACTATGAAAACGAGACGCATTGCCCTTTTTTGTGTGCATTCTGAGCGCAAGTCAGGGAGAAATGACTGTGTCGCTATCAGGATCGCTGTGATCTACGAAAAGATGGCAGAATTAACGCAATGCCTGCCGCGCGACGTGATTTTCTCGTTGGAATGAGATCGGATAATCCGACGATTTTTATCGCGAGAATGTTTAATAAAACTTCGGACTAGCGGAAAAGTGACGTTAGCTTTCCATCGAACGAACCGAATGTTTCCTGAAACAATAGAAAGATATTTGTGTACCGACGATGGCGTGGAGGACAGCTGGGGCTGATTCAATATTATCTGCGAGATTACGTTCGCGATATTGTGCCTTCAATTGCCAGTCAATTGCTCGATCGATGAGATTGGTCGAGTGGATTTTCCTTACAAGGATTCGAGAGGATTTATACAATGTTATTTATCGTGACAGAAACGTCGCGAGATATTGTTTAACGCTAGATATACGGAGCAGAAAAATAAGCTGTTCTTATAAACTGAATTTATAAAAGCGACGATCGGACATTTATTCTAATTTTTACCGAATGTTATTGTAATATTTGACGCAGATAAAATATGTATATTGAATTTACATCGTTGCGATCCGAATAATCGTAAATTAAAAAATTAGCGACCCGTTATTTCGACGGATACCGTAACTATAGCGTTAATGATCGTTTTCGAACCACCCGTAACGAGTTGGAACGAGATAGAAAACGATGTAACCGGTTAAGTAAATAACGCGATAAAATCGAGACTCGCTTTTCCGATGGTACGTGATCTGAGTGAGGAAATTTTTGAGTGCCGAGCGGTTTAAGAAATCGAACCTTTCGTATGCGTAACGAGTCCCGCAATTAATTGCACAACGGAACTGCACGGTACGTGTGCATTAATCGATCGTCGCCGGAAAATTCATTCCCAGCTGTCTGTGTCTCGATTCTAATTAACGGGGCGTACGTTACATTACACGAACCGTTAGTGGAGCACGCCGATAGATTAGTAATTAATTCTGGCGTGTGTTTGAGGACTCGTTTTCGTTTGAACTCGTCGAGCAAAGCGGCGTTGTTCAAGTGAAAATTGATTTTACGACTGCGGCCGTTTCGCTGCTGCGACAGCGAAACCGGCTCAAGTTCAACTGTTTCCCGCCTTTTCGCATTGTCAAAACATCACGCGATCGATGTTTTGTGTACACACCGTGTAAGTTGAATGTAATTGACGCTGTTAATTGGAAGAAGCGCAAAAGCGTAAATACAAAATGGAAATTCCTCGTTCTTAGGCTGTCTGTTGCAACGGGTATAATATTCTCATGCAAAGAGAAAACTTAGGTGCGTCAAAACCGGAGACTTCGATCTTTAAAACGAGATAGTGTTCATTGTTCTATGAGTTCTTATTAAAAAGTTGCAGCGCTTTAAAAATCGCTAACTTTTTAGCTGGTATTTAATAAGTTACGACATTCCGATTTCACACTCTTCATTCAGAACGCTATGAAATGGTAACAAAAAATCGTAGAACGCTGTTTTTGATCTCACTGGAAAGCAGAGACTTTGTGCTTTAAGATCGCGTTAGTTTCAGTAGCAGAAAAAATTGTTTGAAGTCTCTAGAGATTTGTAAAGTTGTGAAATTCTGAAAAAATACATTTTTTGCTTTCTTGCCTATTTCTCAGTGTGAAAATTTTGTCGGCTAAAATAACTTAGATATTCCGAAAGTGGAGACTACACGTTTTAAAATGAGCCTAGGTGGATCTCCCTGCGATTTTTTTTCACGAAGTTGCAGTGGTTCAAATATCAATGATCTTTTGCTGAGATTTCAACGTATCTTATACCAATGCTGATTGTTCATTTTTCATGGGAAGCGTTATAAAACGGTAGAAAAAAATCATAGCTCGATGTTTTTGGTCTCGTTGGAAAGCTAAGACTTCGTTCTTCGAATCCACGCTAGTTTCATTTCAGAAAAAAATCTTTTGATTTCACCAGAGGCCCGTGAATTTGAAAATAGTAAGAAAAAGTACCATTTTTGTATATCCTGCAAATACCAAGTATAACAATTTTCTATGAGCATACAACGAATCCACAGTTAAACAGTGTTCTTTCCCCTTCAAAATGAGCTAAGTTACGATACTCTGCGATTTTTTTAAACAAAGTTATGACGCTTCCACTATCGAAATGTAACGATAAAACAAAAAAGGGTCAAATGTTATCGTTTTCATTCATATTCCATCGTATGCAGAATTTCATTTAGCTATAAAGAAACGTTGAAATTACTTCGTGAAGGCTCTCAATCGATTTCCAAAGGCTTATATTGCAGTTGCATTGATCGAGTGCGGCGATCGCTCTATCGCGTAGAGGCCCCTCTGGATCGAGCGTCGTGGTGGGGATGGAACGAGATGGACGAGGTGGGGAGGAACAGGTTGATAAATAGCAGTGTCGCTGCGATTACTTTAGATCACGGATCGCTGCGATCTTCGTCGTAGAATTTTCCTTCGAACACGTGCCGATTTGTAGCTCGTCAGGCTGGCGTTTTCGCGGGGATTGTTACCAGTGCCGCACACGTCGACACGACGAACGTTGATCCCAGAGAAAATCGACGCCAGTGAGCCGTGAGCAGTGGCACGTGGATCGTTTCAGTTAACCGTCCCCGGTTGAGGGACTATGGACCTCGCCAATAAGGAAGATCGCAGGTCGAATTGGAAAAGTGAGTCTCCAACGTTGCCGTCTCTTCCTCAATGTCTAGCCACACTGACCTTCCGCAAACCTATTCGCAAGCCCATTTACAAACCTGTTTACAAGCTTGTTCACAAGTCTGTCCATAAGATTATTTTCAAGACCATTTACGAGCTCATTGGCAAACCTATTCACAAGCCTATTGACAAACCTATTCATAAGCTGTTTCAGAAATTTATTCATAAGCTTATTTACAAGACTATTTACAAGCTCGTTGACAAACCTATTCATAAGCTGATCCAGAAACCTATTCATAAGCTTACTTACAAGACTATTTGCAAGCTCATTAACAAACCTATTCGCAAGCCTATTGCCAAACCTATTCATAAGTTTATTTACAAGACTATTTACAAGCTCGTTGACAAACCTATTCATAAGCTGATCCAGAAACCTATTCATAAGCTTACTTACAAGACTATTTGCAAGCTCATTAACAAACCTATTCGCAAGCCTATTGCCAAACCTATTCATAAGTTTATTTACAAGACTATTTACAAGCTCGTTGACAAACCTATTCATAAGCTGATCCAGAAACCTATTCATAAGCTTACTTACAAGACTATTTGCAAGCTCATTAACAAACCTATTCGCAAGCCTATTGACAAACCTATTCATAAGCTTATTCACAAATCTATTCATAAGCTTACTTACGTGACTATTTACAAGCTCATTGACAAACCTATTCGCAAGACTATTGACAAATCTATTTACGAGCTTATTCACGAACCTATTCACAAGCCTATTGATAAACCTATTCGCAAAGCTATTCATACATCTGTGTTTGTCACATTTTGTTCATTCATGCAATTCTTCTTGGTCGAGCTAGACAAATGGAGCGTTGAAACAGGAGGGATTACGAAAGTGTAAAAGCAGTTAACTGACACAGATTTAACAGGAAAGTGCATGTTTTGTTGTTACACATGGATCCTCCTGGAACGAGATAAACTAGTATAGAAGACAAACAAGGGGGATTACGAAAATGCAAAAGCGATTAAGCGGCACACATTTGACAGAAAAGTACACATTTTGTTGTTACACGCGATTCATCTGAAACGAGATAAACCGATATAGAAGACAAACAAGGGTGATTGCGAAAGTTCAAAATTGAAGCACATGTAACACAAAATAATGTACATTTCGTTAATGAACACGATTCAGCCCGAGCGATGAGAACGGATACAACGAATAAGCGTGGAGCGGGGGGGATTATGGAAATGGAAAACAACGAAGAGTGAAGAGACGCACGTACAGGAAAGAGAGAAAATGGAAGAACGGAGCGAAGATAGGTGAGAAAAATCAACTGACCTACGCAGGAGAGAAATCACAGTGAGAGATGAGGAAAAAGTTGGATCGACTCGTGGTCGAAGTAGAAAAAGAGGGCATAGAAGCATCGGCCAAGTGGCGCGGAGGGGGGAGCCGGGGAGGCGCAAGGTTTCCACGGAGTGCATCAAGATCGTGGGACTTTTCATAGTGTCCTAATTATCTCGAGAGATTGTGCTCCGACGTTTGTTATCGAGTTGCTTAAGGAAAACCGATGGTCGCAGCGGCGAGCAGACCGAACTCCGAGTTTCTTCTACGAGGCTGTGATTAAGAAATAAATTAAAAGCTCGGGATTATCGCTGGTTAATTAGTCGGTGTTTACCAGAGGAAGTTCGCAGACCCTGATCCGTTTACTGGTTTCGCGAAAGGCAATTGAAACTCCCGGGCGAACTTGATTCTCGGCGCTGACAAGTTGTTAGTGACAACAGTCTCTGGAGCTTCCGGGATGACGATAATAACGTTCCTCCATCGCAGTTGTATTCGATTGTTTGTGGCCGCAGTTGCTCGGAGACTCGAGAACGAAGTAATCTCTATTTCTGTTTATCCCGTTGTGCCCCTTGAAAATCGCGGGATTACTTTCAACGTTGTGAACGATCTGCTGGGTGACAGCGAGGGATTACCCGTGCTCCTTCAGCAGCGATCGTCTAATCCGGGCGTCGGCAACCTTTCTAGGCCGCGGGTCAAAATCGAGCAAAATGTGACTGTTAAGTAGACCTGCTCCGGATCAGTGATATTTCCATTTTGGAACAGTCTTTCGGCGAATGATAAGACAAATTTTATTGAGAGAATAATTACAATATGGTTTTCGCAATAAATATGATGATAATTCTAATTACTTCAGAAATTCTCGAATTTTCAAATGGGACACACGGTGACCCGCGGGGTCATGGGTTACCGACGCCTAATCATTCTTATCCTCGATCTGGAGTCCAAGCGTAAAACGGAGGACTTTTCAGAGTTCGCCGAGACAAGGTGTCAAACTGTCTGGCACTATCAGTGAGGAAAAAGGCGGCGAGATAATTCATTGTTTTCGAATGGCAGATAGCAGGGCTTGGCTTGCCGCACGAGTTGTTTACAACGTTCGTAGCGTCGAGGCAAGTGTCGGACATTTTGACGGTGTATACGAGAAGTCGGGTTCAATCTTGTTTGGTATTCCGAGCGATTCATCTCGTCGAAAGTGTAATCTTCGGAAAACTGGGATTTGAAATACGGTGTACGGTTTTTAATCGAACAATTGGAGCTCGACCCGCGCCACTTGCCCTGGGGATTCGCCCAATGGCGGCACTTCATCGCAAGCATTAATTTTTCTATTTTACTCGCGAATGACTTTTCGAATTCTAATTCTTCTTTGCGAATTTTAATCGTCCATTTCAACATTGTCGATATTCAAAGTACCGACTCGTTGTCGAAAGATATCGTACGACGATGTGCCTAGATCCATTTTAAAGAGCGAAGTCCCCTCTTTGAAACGAGTCCAAGAACATCGATCTGCGATATTTTGTTGTTTATGCGTGACACTTTCGAATGATAAGTGTAAAATTAACATTTTGTGACGTGACTTAATTGTTAAACGCAAGGTTGACGATGTTTAAAGTGTTGTAACTTCTTGAAAAAAAATCGCAGTACAACGAGCCACAGCTCATTTTAAAGGGTATAAAATGCATTTTGAAACGGTGTTAGTTATTTTGTTATAGAATTTTGTTGTCATTGATAATCGCAATTTTAGTAGCGATTCCCCTTTTTGGACCATTTCGCAAATTCCGAGATCTCGGACGAATTCAAAAAATTTTTCTGTCGAATCCAACTACAGAGATCTTGAAGCACGAAGTCTGCCCTTTCCAACGAGCCCAAGGACATCGATCTACGATTTTTTCTTACCATTCTATGGCGTTTTCAATCGAAAGTGTAAAATCGGAATTTTGTGAGGCAACTCATTAATTGCTAGATACAAGGTTGACGATGTTTAAAGTGCCGTAACTTCTCGAAAAAAAATCGCAGTACAACGAGCCACAGCTCATTTTAAAGGGTATAAAATGCATTTTGAAACGGTGTTAGTTATTTTGTTATAGAATTTTGTTGTCATTGACAATCGCAATTTTAGTAACGATGCCTCTTTTTGGACCATTTCGCAAATTTCGAGATCTCTGACGAGTTCAACAAATTTGTTTGCCTAATCGAACCAGACGGATCTTGATATGCGAACTCTCCCCTTCTCAACGAGACCAAGAACATCGCTCTACGATTTATCGTTACCATTCTACGGCACTTTGTATCTGAAGTGTACCGTCAGCGCTAAAAGAACCTTGCTGATACGTGTCAAGTTCTCAAACTGTCGCTAGGCGAAAACTGCTCGATCGTCAAACAAGTGTAACTTCGTAAAAAAAAAACTTAGCACAATGAACCTTACCTCATTTCAAAGGGTAAAGATTCCTATTTAAACGCGTACCAGTTATTTTCATCCAACGTTTCGTTTTATTTACATTTTTTTTATATTTTGTTTTCATTCTTTTTGTGTCGTCCATCATGTTGTTTTTTTCCTGTCAAGCCAAACAGTATTCCATTTGCATAGATCCGCTAACCGAGCGATAGCGAAACCACGGAAGTGCGAATGGTAATGCGAACGAGTGAATCCGGTGAATTCTGTTCAAAGTGCCGCGGTGCAGCAGAGGCGGTTGTTGGTCTTACGTGAAACGAAAGCTGCCGGTTCTGACGTGGTCGACGGCCTATAAGCTCGCATGGCTGCCCCAAGATGTGCTGGCAGGATTCACGGTCGGTCTGACCGCTATTCCTCAGGGTATCGCTTACGGGATCGTGGCCGGACTGAATCCCGAGGTAAATAATTCCGAGAAAACCGTCTGCGATACTTTCTCTTCACGATGCAGTAATTTCTCCCTAATTCGCGCTCCGATTGCGGCACAAAAATGGACAATTTGGGAAGCAGAGATACGATTATTCGAGCCTCTCAGCTCGTTTTTATAGTTGTCGGCAATCGATAACTATAAAAACGAGCCGCAAGCCTCGAATAATCGTATCTCTGCTTCCTAAATTGTCCAATCTCAGCGCGAATTAGGGAGAAATTACTGTATTCACCTGGACTGTTTGTATATCCGACCCTCTGTCTAGTACGGGCTGTACGCATCCTTCATGGCGTCCTTCATCTACATCATCGTCGGGTCCTGCGAATGCATCACCATAGGACCTACGGCCATCATGGCTACCATGGTGCAGTCCCTCGTTGGAAAATACGGGGCTGATATCGCTGTCCTGATGACTTTCTTGAAGGGTTGCTTCATCACTCTTCTGGGTCTTCTTCATCTAGGTTAGTAGGTCTTACCGGATCCTGAAGGGTAGCTAAGTTTGTCTGGGGATATAGCAACCTTGTGGATTTGTAACACTCACTTGGGGATCGAGATTAGATTTAGATTGAATTAATTGGAGATCAAGATTAAATGTGGACAGTTCTAATCAACTGAGGATCACGATTAGAGCTAGATTAGATCCCCAATTGGGGATCAAGATAAAAAGTTAGTGACTCAGTTCGATCATGAGTCAAGATTAGATAGCCAGGTCCAAGCTCACCGATTTTGCCACACTGCATCGTTACTACATATAATTGAACGCCCTCGAAACCAACGAACCATGACACACAATTTCGCAGGTTTCCTGTTGGACTTCATCTCTCTGCCAGTGATCACAGGCTTCACGACAGCCGCGTCCATCAACATAGCAGCCTCGCAGTTCAAGTCCCTGTTGGGCATACCGGGACGAAGCGAGGACCTAGTGGATTCGCTGGTATCAGTGTTCTCGAACCTGAACGAGATCAGATATCAAGATACGTTGCTGGGAGTGTGCACGATTGCGGCGCTGGTCTTGCTGAAGGTACTATGCTAAAGGTATTTTGCCAAGTCGATCCTGATGAAACCGATTCGAATATTGTCTACGAGCACAGGCAGCCTCGAGCTTGCGGTACGGGAACTAATAGGCTTTAATGCGACTGCGACCCAGGCATGATTAGTATCTCCAGAGAGCCCGCATTGTTAAATGAATTAGCCGAAAGCGAGAGACAGTGTTCCTTGTCGTCTTAACGCTGCCAGGGCCCTGTCTAACGTTTCTCTGTTAACATTTCCGCAAGAATTTGCCCGGACGGCGAACCGGCACGTGGCCCGAAAAGCTTGCATGGATCGTTACCCTAGCCCGTAACGCTTTAGTAGTCGTCGCAGGGACTGTCATGGCGTACATATTTTACGCCAACCACCAGCAACCCTTCAAGCTGACTGGTGAGGACCGCTTTTCTGCTTCACGCTATCTCCCCCTCCCCTCTTCTCTATACACGCTTTTACGATGCCGTTTTCTCGAACTGTCAGCCGGCGAGACAAACGTTCATGAATTTTTTAGGAACCATGGGAGAAGGACTGCCGCCGTTCGCACCGCCGCCGTTCTCCATCACCGCCAACAATCGCACCTACGACTTCCTGGAGACCGCTTCCGCCATGGGGACCACGCTATTCACCCTTCCGATCGTCTCCACCATCGAGCACATGGCCATCGCGAAAGCCTTCGGTACTCCCGCCGTTTTTATTTCTACTGCCTCATACATGCCTCGCTTTTTCTACGCCTATGGTGCTCGAGCCATGGTCTATCATAGCGGTTCTACGGATTTTATGATTCTACGGAAATTATGACGTTGCTTATAGGTTCGATATTATACTGAAAGTTCCCATCGTGGTCCGACACTGCCGTCTAAATTCTCTCGCACAGCTTTCGTCCTAATTTCGTAACTTGTATGCTATATAGCGTTCCGAAAACTATGCTCTTGTTCACAATATTCATACTGTTTCTAAAATTTCCATAGTCCTCGTAATGTTCTCTCATAGTTCTCGAGATCCTAATACAGCTCTCTCAAAGTTCTCCCATCTATACGGATTCACATCGATACCCGACATCCAAAATACTACGTTCGAGAATCTGATACTATTCTTAATGATCTGTCATAGTATTTGAGACCCTGATACTGCTTCTAATGTTCTCCCATAGAGCTTGAGACCCTGATATTGTTTATAATATTCTCTCATAGTTCCTGATATTGCCTCCAATGTTTCTCATAGTGCTCGAGGCTCTGATACTGCTTCTGATGTTCTCCCATAGTGCTCGAGGCCCCTAATACTGCCACAAATATTCTCTCACGGTTCTGAAATTACTCTTAACGCTCCCTATAGTGTAACATGGCTCTGAAAGTTCATCAATAATGTTCGATCGAACTCGTGCCGCTTTTAAAGTCCTCCTAGTATTTCCGCTATCCAGTCCTGTCAAAAGCGATATGAGCAACCGATTAACAGAGCTTCGAGCAAACTATGGAAGTAATATCAAATAGAGAAGAGAAACTGCAACGCTCGCGCTGTTAATCGCGAGCAAACTGTCGCTGCGGCAGGCTCGCCCGGCCGGCTGAGCACCCATAAATAACCGCGGATACATCGATATGGTTTCGGTTTAGCGATGGGAAAGTCTCTGGACGCGACGCAGGAGATGTTCGCGTTGGGTGTGTGCAACGTGTTCGGCTCGTTCGTGCGATCGATGCCGGTCACAGGCTCCTTTACCCGCACCGCCGTCAATCACTCGTCCGGCGTCAAAACGACTTTCGGCGGTTTGTTCACAGGTGAGTTTGCGCCCCGCAATTTCAACCACAGCCGCATTTCCGACCTGGTCCACGAGCTTCCAAATAAAAACTCTGTCGTGCCCAAGGCCGCCCCCCGTAAACTTCTCGTTAATTACACGACCGGCCTTTGATTCCAGGATGTCTGGTGCTGCTCGCTGCCGGTCTGTTGACTTCCACCTTCCGTTTCATTCCGAAAGCCACCCTGGCCGGCGTGATTATATGCGCCATGTACTACATGCTCGACTTCAAGACCTACGCCATGCTGTGGCGGGCCAAGAGTGAGTGTACGGCACCTATGGTTGCGAGACCAGCGAACCGTTACTCGTGGGACGCGACGCGGGCCTGTAGAGAGGCGTGAATATAGCTTGACGGGCGATTCATTGGCTGACAGGCTGATTTAGCGGCTGCTTGCTGCCACATGCTGCGCTCTTACCCTCTCTGGTTCACTGTCTGGGGCATTTTTTTGACATCTTGATTTATCACAGGGTCATTCCGCGCGAAGTGGGACACCCTTCGGCGTTCCGTTTCAGATCTTGGCCACATTCGTACGTGTCGTTTGCTTTAACCAACGTCTGAAACGGTACCTCAAACATTGTCCGATTTCGCCATGGAACGAGCCTATAGTCTCCAATCGAAGCAGAGATAGGCTTGACTCCTTTTCACAATCCATAGTACGGGGATCCAAATTCCCAATACTGAAACGTGCTTATAGAGATGCATTCACACCTCTGCTGTTCCAGAGATCGACTTCCTGCTGATGGTGGTCACGCTGTTGTTCTGCGTGTTCCTCAAGCTGGAATGGGGTATAATCATCGGCATAATCCTGAACATATTAATGCTGCTCTATTTCTCGGCGCGGCCTTCCATTCAGACGGAGATCCAGCAGGTAAATCAACCGAATCCCGTTGTTTGCTCGAGGTTTCCTCCTGATGGGCCGCAATGGAAATGATTTTCTGTCCAGGCCGAGGCAGGTACCGTGATACGCGTCACGCCGGAAGAAGCTCTAACGTTCCCAGCGGCGGAGAATTTCCGGACAAGCATAATGAAGTTATCCGAGGAGAGCCCGAACAACGTTTTGCTGGACTGCAGAAACTTAAAGAGGATCGATGTGACGGTCGCGAAGGTAACCGGCCGCGGTCCGAGCACTCGTTTCTCAATTACCGATCGTTCTTCCATCTTCCAGAACCTGAAGCTGTTGGCGAACGATCTGCATCTTCGCGGCCAGACCCTCGGCTGCATAAATTGCCACGAGAACGTGCGCGACGTCCTCGATAACGTCGCGCCGGACCTATGCAGAGATTCATCTTAGGATCGATAGGGGACATCGAAATCGACGTCCGAACAACGACTTAGTGTAATATCTACTGTGTTTCATATAATAAAAGATTCTGCTATTTATTTGTAAATTCGCTGACGAGATAAGTTTGCACGGCCGGAAATAAAAGCACTGTGCCGGCGGATTGAAAACACGCTGCTCAGCGGAAATTGATTGTTTGCCTGCAACTCGATAACGCTATCGATCCGTGAACTACCGCAGTTATCTGCGGAATACGATCCGGTATAAAATCACTGCGAAAACGACTTCAATACCGTCATACGCGAATTGAATTCGCGATCTCGCAGAGTCACGTTTCGAAAACCGTGACCATTGTTTCATTTCTGTGGACGTATCCTATGGTGGCCGCGTGAAAGGGGATTTTCTGTTGCGTCATCGGATTCAATTTGGGGAAAAACTAGCCCAGCTGGCGCAAATTTGGTCAAAATACAGATATCTATAAATAAATTTCTCTAAACCTTTGTTAAACTCGAGTTGAAATTAGCCAAACCTTGTCAAACCTGGTTTAAACTTGAGCATACTCGACTAAATTTGACTCGTAGTCTCGTCGAACTTGATTAAACCAATCTGATTTACGGTTAACACCGTCTGGATTTGATTTAGCTGTAACCATCAGGTTTGCCTTAAGTTGTAGTGGAAGCTAGTTGAAACTCATTTAAACTCGAAGAAACGTGATCACACTTCCTTTAGACATTGTCCAACTTAGTTAACTCTGGTCCAAACTTGATAAATTTTGAGTTAAACTCAGTTAAACCTAATTAGATTCGATACAAAGACGCGTGAACTTTATTAAACTTGAGTTACACATATCTAAATGTGATTCAAACTTCAGCAAACTTGTTTGAAAACATCTACAACGACTAGATTATATTTAAACTAAACTTCGTTCAAATTACAACAAACGCCGTCAAACGTAGTCGAACCTAATGAGAGTTTATCAGACTGATTTTCTCTTTATTGGAGCTTCTCCCGCAAGCAATCCTGTTTGCAGACGATCGTAAAAGTATCGATACGAAGTCAGACCTATTTTATCACGTCCACCACGGTGTTACAGAGATAAGAGAGTTCCATCCGAGGATTAAATTACGCGTTCGGGGCAGTGTAGGAAGTAAGCTTGTTGGTCGAAAATCTTGGCGACCAAGGGTCAAAGGTTCCTCGGGTTAGTTGGATCGATTCTGTGGTTGGTCCGGACGTGCTTCTCCATCGTTTCGTTCTCCAGTAAGATCCAGTAGCAGTACTTGCAGTAGGTCCGACGATGAAACTTGACGTGTGTCGATAACGATAGGAAAGTGGCAATCCGCTCGCGACAGAAATTGCACTTGTAACCCAAGCGTCGCTGTTCTGAAAGCTGTTCGAAAAATTGCATGGCCCGGCATCGGAGAAATTAGTTTCCGGCATTATATCTCGAACTCCGAAAAACGACGGGCGATCGGGGACACTTTTTCCCCGAGAGTTCGATTTCCCGCTATTTAATTAGCGCGGGTACCTCGAGACAGAAATAAATGGCACTTACGTTCGTGGCGTCTCCGCCAGCCCCATGATCGTTTTTCTCCTGGATCACCGCGTACTGCGGCGCTTTCGAGTCTGAGCTCTGTTTACGACGCAACTGCAGCGGCAATACGACCGGGTATTTTCCCTCCTCGAACTGGAATCACACGATCTGTTTATGCGTGCAGCTACTTGCGCAACGCTAACTACCCAGACGCAAAACAGCACGCGTAAACAAACGGCAGAAATTGCGCGTTTCTTCGACAAACAATATATAAGTAAATTGCCCCCTTTCATCCTCCGAACTAACGTTATACACTCTCGCTTGCGTAATGTTCAAACGATGTTTGCAGGCTAGGATTTCAAATGATCGTATTTTGAATGCGTTCGCTATGTTACATTTTACTATTTACGTATTTATTCCTAATCCCGGTACCAGAACGCTATGTTATATTGTTTTCATGATTAATGTAGAGTCAGTTCTAAACGTGTCTATCTTTCACTAGTTTGAAATTCCCGCGCGCCCTCAGGCCGCAAGATCGCCGACGCTGCGCGGAGCGCCACCATTTGTAACCGCCGGTTTTCGTTGCGTGCGCGTCGTTTCGAACGAGCTCCAGTATTTTTTGATTTTCGAGTGGTATTTCATGCGTGACATTCAAAATTTCGCTTGATTTTGATAATTGGAAGATCGCGGAACGTGAATTGTACAGATTCATACTGAATTATGATGGTGATACGTGAAATATTCGATCGTAACTGCGCGGAAAGTTTGACATAACGTACAGTTGTTTACCACAGTGACCCGTTGGTTTCGAACGATCCCCTGTATTCGATTCTACTTCTCTTGCTTACAACTCGAGGTAATACTATAAGTTCATTATACATATGAGCGTAAAGCGTCCGTCTTATTAGATCGATTAGGTTAGTTGAGGTTCCCGAAGTATATCGCGCGGCACGTTGAACAATCTTCGCGGTTAATGGAATGTTGACACCTGTCACTGCAACGACATCTTCGATTGAATCATTAGTTTTCAATTAATTGTAATGACATTCTAAATCTCGCGTTAATTACTCCGAACGAAACAATTATTATTTATATATTTAACTTGAAAGATATTAACAAAGACTGATAATACAATAATCAAACAGGTTATAAATAAACTAAATATTAATATACAATTTTTCGTAGTAAACGTTATAATAGACTGTAATGATTTAAAAAAAAAAAGTAGCAATGCCGACGTACGGTTATTGGTCAAAAACGATTTACTACAGACTGTGACGCCATCTTTGCCTGTCAAATATTGGCGGTTTGAAAGTCGCGCGGTTTTCTCTAAGATTTGGCGGCAGTGTTAATTTGTCTGCTAATTTGCGCTCGGGAAACATAGCGATACGAAATGCGAGAGTGAAAAGTGAAAAGAAAATAAGTGAACAAAGGAATTCACCGGAAGCTAACCTTTCTGATATTTTGGTTCGGTGGACGGATATCATAGACGAAGTCCTTCTTGGTCATCTTCTCGCTGATATTGCGGTTGCATCGCAGATTATACTTGACAACGTCTCCCGCCATCGAGTTTCGCAATGGATTTTTGCAGCCGTGGTGAGTACCCATAAATAGTTCTCAACTGTCTTTTGTTTTTTTCAATATTCGTTTGTTCATGAACAAAGAAAAAACGTCGGCGAGGTATTTTTATTATGAAACGTATTTATTTATCTCTTATAATGATAAATTACAGATATCCCTTAAATTATTATCGTTTATAATAATAGCTTCGAAGATTTCTCTTAATGGAAACTAGGTTCGTAGTGATGCTTTGTTACGCGTTATTTTTGTCAAAAGATCGTTAATGAATGAGTCACAGTTGTCGAGCCGCCTGTTCGGCGATTATGCGAGTTAATGAACGTGTTTAGTAATAAAGAAATAACGATGAGTTAAGTAACTAAGTCATCCCTGTGCCTCTTATGGACCCGCGATTCAATTTCGTTTAAACCCTGGGGGTCCTTAGCTGCGCCACTGGCAAATTAAAATTACGTGTACACGCGTACTCAGCCACCGTGTTGATCGAGTAACTACAGTTCAACGGACAAATAAATAAACGTTTATTCTATGGCGCGGGATTAATTTTATATGACTAGAGGATGGTGACATTGGCGGCTAGACCAATGCCTTGTGCATGCGCATAACAGGCGCAGGTCAACAGCTGTTAGGCCCTCGAGGATCGTAGTAGGCACTCCCCGAAATCGTTGACCCTACCATGCGAGTCTAGTCAAGCAACGTGTTGTTGGCTGGTCGGTCGTATTTACATCGATAACACAGAAGCTATACCCCGTCGGAAAGTAAATTATGGTGTCCCCGGTAAATGAAAACAGATTTTATTCTGAGAATGGGTGGATTGCTGCCACATTGTTCAGATGCTATCCAGATGAGGGTTCAGGCTGTATTTTGATTCTCTATTGTTTCTGATCGATGAGTCCTGGTGCAGTAGCAATGGTGCCCTCTCTTGCCTGACCTCAGGAAGAGTAACCAACTCCTGCACAGGGCTTCGCTGCCATATATTCTTGGTAGCCATCTCTTGATAGCCTCTCCTCTTAATCTAGAACCAAACGATGCAAATGTTAGTAAATTAGATAACATTATAGGTAATATTTGAAAGCAATACTTGTCTGTGATGAAGTTCATGCAGGTACAATGTAGACAGAGACATATCGACAGCAGTTGCTTCGAGTGGTACAGCCAAGTCTGAGGAGAAATCTTGACTTATACCAAAAACTGAGACTGTGGATCGTTCTTGCAACTCGGAAAGGAACCCTTTTTCGTTATAAATTGGACCTTCTACTTTATTGGAGCCATGTCTGATTGCATGTGGGAACATGTCCGACTGCATGCTCAAGGTCCCTTCTTCTGGAGTTCTTGACATACTCGAAGGCCCAGGGTGGTTGACGAATACGTTACTTGCACTGGGCATGCTCAGATGGTTCACCATCGTGCTTCTGATGATGTTGGCCACTATGTCGTTGTACTGAAAGGGGAGGGGGAACAATCCAGGTCAATACCAACTACTTCTAGCTCTAATACTTCGGTGTTCAAAGACTCACCCCTGGTCCCAGGCCGGACAAGCTGTTGAGGCTCGACAGAAGTGGATTGATCTCTCCAGGCATTGCTTGTACCTCTTTCTTGGCTCTTTCCCTGAGGGCGGTGACGAAGTTCTTGGCGTCGCTAGGTGGTTTCCACTCTGGGTTGGTTAGAGTGAAATGTACGAGAGATAGCTCGGTTTTGCCATCTTCTGCCTGGGCATATTGATTCGACCCGGGGATCTGGAGCTTGTCCGAATCCATGCAATAACGATTGTCGTAGCCCGTGGTTTGGTCTTTGATGACTGGGCTCTGGGCAACGGTCTGCCACATGGGGTTCCCGTGCTTCCGTATGTCCATCTGCGCGAAGCTGCAGACATCACCCACACCAGTGATTTCGATAGTGAAATTTCGGTAAAAGTCCACTATGTCCAAAGCTCGCTGCCTCATGTGGAAGCACAGAATGAAGGGCGTCAACAAAGGGGAGATTAGTTCTTCCAAGAGATGGATCGCACGGTACTGAAACAACTGGGCCACCTGGGCCCTGGTTGTTTGTGTGTGAGCATGGCTGCGCCAACTATCCGGTCGATAGTGTATATGCGCTAGGACAGCGGTTAGTAGGGTTTCCGGACACCAAACTAAATTCTCGTCCGGTATGAACGCCCTGGCGCCGGCCAGCACTGCGCCCAGTATAGTGATCAAGGTCAGGACGTGCTCCACCGTCAGAACGTCCTCGTCGTACACGGTCAATATCAATAAAACCGCTAACACACTGCCGGACACGAACGCAATGTTCTTTGCGATCACTGTCATAATTGGGGACGTAAATATGTTCATGTAGTTTGTAGCTGGACGGTATGCACGGTTCAGACGTGCGTTCAACTCGTGATCGAGCTCGTTGAAGTGTCGAAGGTACAGTCTACCATACAAGGACCACATTCTTATGCCTAGAGTACCGGGTTCTCTCTTGATGATCTGCGGCAGGGTGTCGTTAGATTAAAATCCGTTTAGAGCTATTACTGTCCGAATATTTTTAAAGCTAAATATCGAGTAGTTTAATTCCAAACTTTGGTACATTTCTTATACTAGTATTCGAAGGGTGAACTCAAATTTTCTCAAGCTACAACAATAATTTTCTACAAAGTTGCATTACCCATAATGAAATAGTAAGAGCCCTAGTACAGTTAAAAGTTAGTATAGTGAAGAGCAACTGACCTCTACATAGTTAAAAAAAGAATATAGTATTTGCCACAGCAGGATTAGGGGGCAGAGCACAAAGTTCGCTACACCGACCCACAAAATATGCTTAGACAAGGCTTTGGCGAGTTCCTGTCTCTTATTCAATTTTTTGTAATCTCCTTTTAGATGCCAATTGTTTTCGAACGGCGACCAGGGTCCCCCTAAAACAGTTCACTATGAACATGCTAACCGACTTGTTCGCGTAGAAATTAAGTAACTTACAAAATAAAAGCAGTTCCATGTTGTACTTGAGTCCTCTGGTCATGAAAATCACTTCTCCTATGAGAGGGATCTTGAGCCTTACTGGCAGCAATGATTTGTTGATCATGGCGACCATGTAATTTTTGAATCTTAATATTCTATGGTACATATCTAATTCCGTGAGCTCTCTTTTGTGAATGCACATCTCTTGTTCCTTCTGCACTTCCTTGACCCGCTTCTGTATCTCGTGCCAGGTCAGATTATCCAAATCGCAGTCTTCGATTTTTAGAGCGGTGTTAAAGAACATCTTTATATCCCAAAACTGTGTGAGGTGGTATAAAACTTTTACCGCTCTTAGAATCCAAAAGATCGCGGCTACCAATATACAAATCCATGTAACCAGACCCATGGATGCCGTACATTCCCCGGTGGACAGTATAGCGTCATTTATTGACGTTTTGTGCGAGGTGTTGTTCATTACTTTGTCTCTGAAACGGTAAAACCATTTATATTGAAAACGATTCTATTGTTTCCTTGGATAGCTTGTATAAGATCTCTGCCTTACTTAAATAATACGGAGTAATCGATGCAATGAAATAGATAAGTTGAAAAGGTAACTACAAAAATGAATTGTCCTAGTTCGAGCCCCTCCTGCAACATCATACAAGTGAACCCATGTTTCTGGTGGTAGTGATACATTCTTGTAAAAAACGAATCCAGATCTTCTATATGGTTCCATCTGGCTTTGTTCCCTTCTGGCACCACATGTATCATCACGCCAGACTCCTGAGGTGTTTCTTCATGCTTGTCATCGTCCTCACCATCCTCCTCCTCTCCCTCGTATAGCTCCATACGCTGGTAGCTGCCATCTAAAACCGTTGTCATCTAAAAACACAACACTAATGTAGAAACCATCAGATGAGGACACCTGTTTACTGGTATGTTGTCGCGAGAGAAGCATTCTGAGAGCATCAGCTTTCACTCCCTAGAGTCATGTACACTCTGAACTTAAGGCACAAAATTGGAACGAAACAAAGAAGCATGCAACATAGACGTGTATCGTGTAAAAAGAATCTCTCAAGACAGAGCCTTACCGTTTTCGCTCGTCGGTTTGGCTCTACACAGGTAATGACAGTTTCTCGTTTCATTCTTTCATGTCATTAAGATTAATTAACTACCGGTCGACAGTTGCTCCGTAAGCATCTAGAATATACAAAGCCATCAATGGCAGATCAACGACACGCAACATTGCTTAGAAAAGGATAGAACTATCAGAGTACTATTATATGTTAATCAGAACTAAATATAATGTTTTCACTACCCCTTCTTTGTCTACCTCTTATCTGATATATGAATCAAGATATTGCGACTGTTTGCCAACGAATTGCAAATTGATAGATGGGTCATCCTATGTGTTATCAATCGGTGAATCAATACAAAATTTCCTTATCACGACCGGGGGGAGAGGGGAGGGCCACGGTCACCACGTGAGGAAAACCGTTAAAGCATTACTGATGACACTGCGCGATTTTCCCGTTACTTCTCGCGACATGAGGATCACGAAAACAGCGACGCAGAAAATGGGATTCACTTGGCTGGTGATCACGAACCAGCCGCGTGACAAAAGATTCGAATGCATTCTCTGATAGGAGAACGCGATTTTCATTCTTTCCACGAGTGTGCACAGAGCCTCGGCTTGTTTCGTTCGCTTTTGTTCCTCTCTCTCTCTCTCTCTCCGAGAGCGCGGCGGAGAGGAGAGGGAAGAGGGGGAGAGAGAGACTCGTAGGGGGAAAAGAAAAGCAAGTCCAGCTGACTCGGTGAGCGTCTTGTCTCTTTGTTCTTCCCTTTCCGTTGACCTTTATTCGACGGAAATAGAAGCGTGGTCAGCGAAACGCGACACGAATGTTTGGTAACACAGCTGATCTCCATAAACAAAGCGTATATCCCTCTCTGACTGCGAGGAGACCGTACCTTCGTTTATCGCGAGTTTCGTCCCGCACTCCAATTTGACCCGCGCTTATTCCTGCTCGCAGCACTGAGCTCATGGAGCGTCACTCACATATTGGCCACAGTCATGACGCGCGTTCACTAGTAATTTAGACATTAGAACGTTAAAACCGTCCCGCCAGCCGTCCTGCCTGGCGTACCATCTGTACTGAATTTTGCCTTCTATTTGTAGCTCACCTTGCTACGACCGACGCGAACCACACGTTGCTTGTTAGTACCATCGGTCTCAGCTGTTAACGACGCTTCCTCTTTCCACCGGAAGTCTTCAAAACTTAATCTCCCCCAGTTAACGAGAATTACCGTCGATTGACTGTCGTTTTGATCGCCAGGATCACGAAATTTATTCATATGTAAATATGAATAAATACCGTGGAAATACCATAATTTTCCACGAATTTCAGGAAAATATCGATCGCAGCGCTAGTCGGTAACTAAGATCCCCGTTTCGTTTTTTCTATATCGAAAGTTTATTCCTTCTCTTTTTATTCTTTTATTCGAACAATTATCCCAGCATGGATGCCTCGGAGTCGCACAGTTTTAGATAATTTTATTTTATATAAAATATAATCCATTTCGAAAAGACATCCTGGAAACTCGGATCACACAGAACGACCGATAACATCGTTCCCTACTATGGGAATAACAAATGTACCGTGCAGTTGATTTTACACACGTTTAATTGCAATATCATATCATATTTACAGTGTATCATGGAACATTGTAATTACAAAAATATTAATACTAGGCTGCGGATGTCGGTTCTGCAACTGCCGGTTAATTTACAAACCACAAACAATTAAATAGATTGCTCGCACAATGGAATTTCTTATCACTCGACATATTTAGAAACCATGATTAAGCTTCGGGCAAGCTCCGCACAAGATCCGCAGTCTAATTATAACCATACGTCGATCATTCTCGGCGACCGTTATCCTCCTCGCGATCGTCGCCTTTAAATAAGAAGTAGTATCGTATAATCGTTTCCAGTTCGCGCTCCCGTTGGAAATCGCCGCGGAACGGCAGCCCAACGTTGGTACCGGGCCTCGATTATGGCATCGCGGACGTATCGATCGCGCCTCGCAATAAACGCCGTGGAAAAGGACGCGGGTCACGCTGCGCGAAATTCACTATGTACATCCGACCTTCTATCTGGGAGCTCGAGACACCGTTTTCTAAACGCCCCCGCATCAATTCGTCGACTATCGCTTAGCCAAGCCTTGCTTCTTCGCTTTCCTTCGCAACTGTCCTCGCTAGAACGATGTCGTCGCGATGTTGGACCTAGGACACGAACGTTTAAGACCTGAACCAGCTCTGAACTTTCTTCTTTTCCTAATCTTCAACTTTCGAATGATCCTTAGTAGCCGAGACATAGTCTTCGATCTAAGTTAGGGGAGCCAGTAGCCTAAATCACGAACATCAGCTCTTCCCAAACAATTTTCAACTACCTACTGCTGCTGATCTGGTGTTTTCGTTTTTAAATTGGCCATCTAGACTACCATCTATCTAAATATACCAGGATCCCCTACAATACCGTCGCATTCGTTCCAACGAGAACACGCTTAGCCCCTAAGAAACGTTGTCTGTCCCATCAGAGACGCTGTTAACCGTCCGTTGCAGGAGCGGGTCTAGTCTGGAGATAGGTTATTCACAAGGTCTGTAGAACAGGCCTACAGACTTTGGGTTATTCGGTAGCAGCGCACTCCGACAGCGGACGGTTATTATACCGGTGTCTGGGGTCCCGTCAGCCGCGCTCCAGTCAGCTCAGCGACGGTTATCGGCGGAATGTAGGTGTCTCGATGTTTGGGGGCGCGTTTTTGATCATCGAGCACCGAGTCTAGGCGAATCCCGGCTGCCTATTCCCGGGAGACGATCTGTCCAGGGCGTCGGGGCGCTATCCTGCGCCTGGGGGCCAGCAGGCCACTCAGTCCACGCGTCTCCTCGTGTCTCGTGCTGGCCGCGGTGCTGGTTTCGGCAGATGTCGCCTCAGTCGATTCCGTTTCGCTACTGGACGACTGTGGTTCCTCGGAGACTTCTTCCTGGCTGGTCTGCACTACGGGCGCTTCCGTTACCTTGCGCCGCGGTAGCAAAGGTGACCTCCTAGCAGGCAAAGTCACCGGAGACCTGGTCGTCGACTTCGGGTGCACTTGCAGACGGTTGCGGTTGCGCAGCTTGTTTAGGGGATTCACCGTCGTCGACTTGGTCGGCGGCGGGCTGGTTTCTGCTGGCGCCTGTACAGGACAAAGGAGATTGAAGATCACCGACTTACTGGGAGTGTTCGCCGAAGTATGTCAGCGACTGACATTTTCCGAAAGGCCATTCGGTGAAAGCGGGGCCTACCGATAGCGCTACTGACTTTTGTTGGAATTGCTGAAACACTCACTTCGTGGGTCTCCTCCTCGGTGCCCTCTCCCGCAGGCTCTTCTATTGAAGCTTCTCCCGAAGTGTCCGCAGGCACAGCTGGCGTGGTGGTGCTGGTAGTGGTAGGCTGTCCTGGTTTCTGTCTTGGATTCAATCGGACTCCGCCGGGTTTGATAACTGGTGGCCTGGCTCCAGGTACCGGAAGTCTCGCTCTGACTGTGGTCTTAGGGGCAGTCGTGACAGCCTCTTGGGTCGTCTCCTTAGCGGTCTCTTTGGAGTCCTGGCTCTCCTCGCTGGTGTTCGGCGCCGTGGTCGTTGGTCTGCCGCGACGTCTGTTGAGGTTCAGCTTGTTGAACGTTGGTCTAGACACGCCATTGGTGGAGGAAGTCGATCCGGCGCCATTCGTGGGCGAGCTTGTGGTTGTGGAGATGGTTGCCCTGGTTGTCCCGGTACCACGGAACCTTCCGCGACCATTTGTGGTAGACGGTCGTTCAGCATGGACTGAACTAGCGCTCTCCTTTTGCACAGCATCCTCTTCCACAGGCTGCTTGTGACCTGGTCTTGCTCTCTTGAACCCGCCATTCGACCCGTTCCCTCCAAAGCGATTTCGGGTACGCTGGGTAGGCTCTGGGGACTCGGTGGTGGTTGTACTGCCGCCTCCGTTCGACTTGAATCTAGTGGGAGGAACGCGTGTCAAGGCATAGGGTCTACTATGTACTTTGAGGGACTTAAACCCTATAACTCACCGGTTACGTGAGGTGGCCGGTCCACCTAGTCCAGGCCTCCTGAACTTGCCCCTTCCAGCAGCTTGCGTAGTAGACGTGGGGGCTTCAGTGGTGGTTGTAGTGGTCGTTGTCGTTGTAGTGGTGGTGGTAGTTGTAGTAGTAGTCGTTGGTTCGGCCGTCGTGGTGAGATCGACGGTTAACGTTGTACCGGTGGATTCAGTGGTAGCTGCCAAGTCGGTGGTAGTCGGTTCCTCGGCTAGGGTAGTCCCATCCGATGTGGGTTCGCTACTGGAAGCCTCGACCAGGTTGTTCTGACCCTGCTGCACGAAGGCGTACAAGTCCAGAGCTACCTTATCCATGGCTGATGGGTACTCTGTCGTTGGACTGTCGGTAGTAACAGAGGCGGTGCTCGGGGAGGTCGAGGAGGAGTCCTGCTCCTCCGAGTCCTGTTTCTCCAGGGAGCCTCTCTCCAGGGAACCTCTCTCTTTGCTTCTTTCAGCAGAGGATTCCTCTTTGCTTTCTGCTTGCTCGACCGATCTCGAGCTGCTCTTGGTCTCGTCTTCCACCTGGACGAAATTTACGAACGGTATTAATCCACTATTGTTGGTCCGGGGATCTGTACTCTGATCGCGAGACGTACTATCTTTCGATTATTCACCTCGGATGACGGCGTGCTGCTTATTGGTCTCCTCCTGGTAGTGGGAAGAGGCGAGTCGTCTACTTCCTCTTCCACTGGCGCAGGCTCCTGGACTCTATGTGGTCTGCCTCTACCCTTGCTACTAGTCTTGTCCTCAGCCTCTTCGTTCGGTGTTACTCCCAGGAATCTGACAGGACCCTTAGGCAGCACTTGAGGGAACTCGGGCCCCTCCTGATGGGTCCTGAAGCTGCTCGAGTCCACCAGGTCCAGGCTAGGTCGGGGACGGTTACCACGGGTCCTCGAAGGTTCTGTGGTACCCGTGTTGTGGTTCGATCTGGACCTGTTGGGTGGAAAACGGGTTCCCAAAGTTTGCTTCGCAGATACTTAAGCTACCATCATTAAAGGGAATTGCTTGTTACCTGGGTGGGAACCTGGTGTTGGCAGGCAATCTTTCCTCGGAGACGTCTTCGGCCTCGGTTAACTGCCGTCCCCGGTTCCCGTTTCTGTTCGGTATGACTTCGTTGCTGGCTGGCTCGACGGTGCTCCGTTCCACGCTACTGTACTTGTTCCTGTTGGCGGCGGACGATCCGCCGCGCCTAGGCGCGGACGTCGTCCTAGAAGGAACGTCGTGAGAATTGGTGACGGAAGAGTCCGCCGAACCGGCCTTACTTTCATCCTCGTCTTCATAGTTGTAATAATAATATACGTACTCGTATTCGTAGTCCTTGCCGTTCGGCCCTTTCTTTACCTGGAATTTCTCAGTGGTAAACGAGTGTCTCATCTAGGTCTAATCAGGCTACTTCTAGGTCTAGCTAGGTTACTCTAGGCTATTCTGCGTGTCGGCCTGCTTACCTGGATTCTCGAGTTCGTGCCGGCCGGAACTAAACTGACGTCGCTGAAGTCGCCGAAGTTGCGATCTCGGAACGAGGTCTCCTTGCCATCGTCACGAATAATGTTCACCGGGACGAAGTCAAAGCCGCGTGCCTCGCGAGGCGTCGTCAGCAACGGCATCATGGTCGTGGGGTATTCGTCGCTGCAAAAGTAAATATCTCCTCATTGCAATCTCCGTGGCGACATCGAAAAGACCAGGCAGAATTGACAGCAGAAAAAGCCTCGATGGAGCTAACAACGCAAGAAGTGCAGGCCGTGGTAGCAATTAAAGCGTAGCCGACAAAGAACCTGCGCGTCTAATCTATATCACGTAGAATCATGAAGAAATGGACTTTTACTTGCAACAAAAGCAATCTGTGTCGAAACCGACCATTACTTCCTAAGTATCGTGTATCAAACTTTCTGTAAGATTTACTCTCATACGAGAATGTTCGCGGTAGTTAAATTATCAACAGTTGCCTGTGCAAAAAGACGATCGATTGACCAATTTACCTGACGCGGACTCCAGGTATGACGGAATCCCTCTGACCTTCGGAACGCGACCTATGCCCGTCACCTCTCCTGACACCGTCTTCCTGGAGGACTCCAGTGTCGCTGAAGTTCTCCAGCTCCACTCGCACTTGCCTCTTCGCGTTCGCTTTCTCGTCCTCGCCGAAATCGAACCGGCGTACTTGGTCCGGCTTCTTATCAAAGCTCTCGAGTCGCGGCACCACTTTCTTCGCGTGTTTGCTGTCCTTCGAGACAGCCCTGCTCTCGACGTCCACCACGTCCTCGTCTTCGTCGTCGTTGAACTGCGTCCGCCTGGCTAGGCTCTCCGGCAGCTTGTGAGATGTGACAAATTCTAGGGTACGAAGACTTGTCTCAGACGATGGATCATATGGAGACAAGGTTGCTGGGTTTCAAGGATACTTACCTTCGATTTTCACCGGCTGCTTCGTCTGAGCCTTATCCTCCGCTAGGACGCTAGCGAGGACGCAGCATAATCTGAAATGGAAGACGAAGCTGCTTGAGATTGATCTCTAAACTAGAATTTCTAAGATTGGGGGCTCTTCGGGTTACTTTCTGGGTAGTTCAAAGTCTGCTTCCAAGTGGACATGTGCCTTGATAGTCTTTCCGAGATGACTATGGTAGCTCGAGGTTAAGTATAACGTTCTAGGCAGGGTTCTTCAATTGGACATTGGATACGAGTGTTTTCGAATCGAATGGAAGGTGCATTGGGACCATTGGCAGGTCGGTGTGTCTATTCTCGAGGAAATGATCTCGACAATCGTCGAGATGTGGAGACGCAGCGCAACGTTGGCAAGGCAACGTTCGCCACGGTGAAAGTTTGCGTCTGGCTGAGACCAGCTGGAAGCTGCAACCAACTCGGCCTGTTCCCAACGGGCCGGTGCTCGATTCTTTCAGACCACTTTAATCACCCGATTCGATTGGCCTGCATTAATGTCAAACAACAAATGCACGGCTCCCGACCCGTATTCCAGTTTGAACGATCCGGCCAATTTCAGCAAATCGTAACATTTTAATCGAGTGACCTGGACGTGTTCGCTCTCATAAGCTTCGGCCACAAATTGACTTCGATGTTGCGAACTTAATGACTCCTTTCGACGAAGCGCTTTCCAATGGGCGATTAGAAAATTTAATTAAAATCTATCACTGTGTAATGTTTAACAGTGGTTCTTCCAAAAGATGAAACTTTCTTGCGCGCGAATTTTATCTCGATTCGTTAGGTTCTCGTTTTTCTCGTATTTCTAATGGTGTCGCAGATCTAAGTTAGCATTCACACGAGACACGAAGGAAAAATGTCGGCCATTCCCGTGCTCGGTGCGGACGATTTTCGTGGCGGCCAAATAATTTGATCGAAGGAAAAAGTCAAGGCCGTCTAGTAGCCTGCCTCGGGACACACGAGAGCGACCTCGTCCTCGTTCTCCTCAAGGTTGCTCGACCGGGTTCGCCAACGGGCCGAAATTCGGTGAAAATCGGTAGCACTTCTCACGATCCGTGATCTGCGCCTCGATCTCGTCGATCCTTTCATCTCGCGATCGATCGTCTCGCATTGGAAAGCAACAGCGACCTTTTCGGAATTCGTAGAAATTGCAAAAACATATTGTTCGCGTCTGAACAAACGTGTAAAGGGTTAAAGCGTTCGTTTCGTCCGATCGAACGGAAGAGTACGATAGCGAATCGATTTAATGGCGGCGCGCACCCGCAAGGTCGATCGGTTACGATCGATTACCTGCGACGAAGGAGAGCGGCTGTGTAAAATAAAGGCGAATATCAAGGGCTTCTCGTTTCTCGGATGATTGTTCTTTTTTCCCCTCAGTTTCGCAAGCTCCACGTCCTTTGCCTTTCAAGGAAGGTCGTTCAGCTTCTCTCTTTCTCTTTCTTTCTCTCCCTCTCTCTCTCTCTCTCTCTCTCTCTCTTCTTAGATCTGTCTCTGCCATTCTCTCATTCCCTCTTGTCTCTTCGATAGAAAGTCGATGGGTTCGCGGACCCGAGCCGCGACATTTACGAACACGATCGAAAGGAACGGTAAATATCCTGTTTGTCGCGCGCTATCTCGTCGCGTTTCAATATTCCAGCATATTCCACCTTATCTCCGACCGACCGCGACGAGTTTACTCGTCCGATTCCGTTCACCGATTTTACTATCCAATTTTCCATTTATTAACTAGCTAACCTTCCGTCGATTTATGTTTTTGTAATTGAATTTGACCTTCTTCTTCCTCAAAAGCATAAATTATATCAGCAAGGAAATGTGTCGTTACGTCAATTCTCAAGTTCATTGGTAAGTCGCAGGCTGGGTTCTGAGCTAGATGAATCGCCGGGCGATTAAATTGATGCGCCGGGATTGATTCTGTATTCTAGGGATCGTTTTCAANTGACTATGGTAGCTCGAGGTTAAGTATAACGTTCTAGGCAGGGTTCTTCAATTGGACATTGGATACGAGTGTTTTCGAATCGAATGGAAGGTGCATTGGGACCATTGGCAGGTCGGTGTGTCTATTCTCGAGGAAATGATCTCGACAATCGTCGAGATGTGGAGACGCAGCGCAACGTTGGCAAGGCAACGTTCGCCACGGTGAAAGTTTGCGTCTGGCTGAGACCAGCTGGAAGCTGCAACCAACTCGGCCTGTTCCCAACGGGCCGGTGCTCGATTCTTTCAGACCACTTTAATCACCCGATTCGATTGGCCTGCATTAATGTCAAACAACAAATGCACGGCTCCCGACCCGTATTCCAGTTTGAACGATCCGGCCAATTTCAGCAAATCGTAACATTTTAATCGAGTGACCTGGACGTGTTCGCTCTCATAAGCTTCGGCCACAAATTGACTTCGATGTTGCGAACTTAATGACTCCTTTCGACGAAGCGCTTTCCAATGGGCGATTAGAAAATTTAATTAAAATCTATCACTGTGTAATGTTTAACAGTGGTTCTTCCAAAAGATGAAACTTTCTTGCGCGCGAATTTTATCTCGATTCGTTAGGTTCTCGTTTTTCTCGTATTTCTAATGGTGTCGCAGATCTAAGTTAGCATTCACACGAGACACGAAGGAAAAATGTCGGCCATTCCCGTGCTCGGTGCGGACGATTTTCGTGGCGGCCAAATAATTTGATCGAAGGAAAAAGTCAAGGCCGTCTAGTAGCCTGCCTCGGGACACACGAGAGCGACCTCGTCCTCGTTCTCCTCAAGGTTGCTCGACCGGGTTCGCCAACGGGCCGAAATTCGGTGAAAATCGGTAGCACTTCTCACGATCCGTGATCTGCGCCTCGATCTCGTCGATCCTTTCATCTCGCGATCGATCGTCTCGCATTGGAAAGCAACAGCGACCTTTTCGGAATTCGTAGAAATTGCAAAAACATATTGTTCGCGTCTGAACAAACGTGTAAAGGGTTAAAGCGTTCGTTTCGTCCGATCGAACGGAAGAGTACGATAGCGAATCGATTTAATGGCGGCGCGCACCCGCAAGGTCGATCGGTTACGATCGATTACCTGCGACGAAGGAGAGCGGCTGTGTAAAATAAAGGCGAATATCAAGGGCTTCTCGTTTCTCGGATGATTGTTCTTTTTTCCCCTCAGTTTCGCAAGCTCCACGTCCTTTGCCTTTCAAGGAAGGTCGTTCAGCTTCTCTCTTTCTCTTTCTTTCTCTCCCTCTCTCTCTCTCTCTCTCTCTCTCTCTTCTTAGATCTGTCTCTGCCATTCTCTCATTCCCTCTTGTCTCTTCGATAGAAAGTCGATGGGTTCGCGGACCCGAGCCGCGACATTTACGAACACGATCGAAAGGAACGGTAAATATCCTGTTTGTCGCGCGCTATCTCGTCGCGTTTCAATATTCCAGCATATTCCACCTTATCTCCGACCGNTCTCTCTCTCTCTCTCTCTCTCTCTCTTCTTAGATCTGTCTCTGCCATTCTCTCATTCCCTCTTGTCTCTTCGATAGAAAGTCGATGGGTTCGCGGACCCGAGCCGCGACATTTACGAACACGATCGAAAGGAACGGTAAATATCCTGTTTGTCGCGCGCTATCTCGTCGCGTTTCAATATTCCAGCATATTCCACCTTATCTCCGACCGACCGCGACGAGTTTACTCGTCCGATTCCGTTCACCGATTTTACTATCCAATTTTCCATTTATTAACTAGCTAACCTTCCGTCGATTTATGTTTTTGTAATTGAATTTGACCTTCTTCTTCCTCAAAAGCATAAATTATATCAGCAAGGAAATGTGTCGTTACGTCAATTCTCAAGTTCATTGGTAAGTCGCAGGCTGGGTTCTGAGCTAGATGAATCGCCGGGCGATTAAATTGATGCGCCGGGATTGATTCTGTATTCTAGGGATCGTTTTCAATATCGCGAATAATTGTGAATTCTGCGGACAATTTTTAGTCCTCTGTCTGACTGGAATTCCGTGGCTAATACCGATTTTCCGCGACTAACACGGAATTCCGTGGTTGATTTAGGATTCTAGGAATAATGCTGAATTCCTCTGGCTAATTTTGAGTTCTATAATTTATTTTAATCATACAGAATTCCTTGAACAACTTTTAGGTCTACGTCCACCTTTTAACTGTATGGCTAATTCCGATTTTCCACGACCAATTTAGAATTTTAACACTAATTCTGAATTCCCCGGGATAATTTTTAATCGATTAAGTAAGCCTAAGTCCCAATAATAGCCCCTAATTCTTTGGACAACTTTCATCCTCTTCTCTACCTCCAAACTCTATAATTTAGACTTTCCACAACTAATTCTGATTTTCTCAGCTCTAGTTTTGCGTTTCGCAATGAATTCCGAGGTCTAAGAACACCTCAGTACTCCTGTTTTCTCACACCCACCCGTGACTTCTACGGCTAATCTCAATTTTCCGCGGCTAATTCCGAATTCCGCGATTCTTTCGAAACCCCAAGGCGTAATTTCGAATTCCTTGGCTCCAGTATGGTGCCAGGCGGTTATGATTCGCGGGCGATCCACCCGCGCCTAGAACGTACATAAAAGAAGAGGCTGTTCGTCTCCGAGAGGAATTCCTCGCGATTCCATATGGAGAAAGCCGCGTCTCACGCGGCCATCTACGTAAGCACCGCTACTACGTGGGCATATATTCCCCGCAACGCGCCGGTACGAAACAGACACGCACGTACAAGCGCATGCCCGCAAACCGACTCGCGCAAACGTAGACCCCTCGCTTACGTAACGCGACACAACATTACCGCGAGACTCTATCGCAAGTCGGTAAATATTCGTGCGTTTTTACCTTCGGTTTCTTTTACAACGGTGGCCATCCCGTTGCTAAGACCGCCGGGCGTTAAGTGTCAGCGTAAACACCGGGTTCGGAGGATGCAACCTTTCGATCGGGGAAACTTTCTATTCGAACGCCGAAAGGAACGACTCGCGTTCGCTACGGTCGCGCGAAAGTCCACCCGAGGATCTCTCGCGGTTTTTCTATGCGGTTTCTACGGGAACTGGATCGGGGTTCGATCCACGATCCACGGATCCACCGGCTAGATCCTCCCGCGGTGCCCCGTTGGGCAATCCGAGGCTCAAGGAGAGCCGCTTTCTTCGCTCTCGCCGCGAAATCCGGGAAAGAGCGGGGCTAATCACTGGTTATTCATTCTTTCTGCCGCTAATTTCCTCTCTAATTAAGTCCCGCTTAATTGTCGCCTACTCCTGATTATGAGAGCCGGCCTCGGAATTCAATTAGAAATTGATTTTAATCCTCAAGCTCGAATCCTCCTCTCGAGATCCTTTCGTCACCTCTCTCAGATACTATCTGAGACTTGCATACTTATTTGTTCGCGTATGTTTCTGTCATAATTAACCCTTCGCGCTTCGAGGCCATTTTAACTCGGAATCTAAAGTGTGAAGACATTTGTTTCAATCTACAGCGTTTACATTTCTTGTGCGACTCTTCTTATTTGATGCATATAGATACGACCTGTTGGTTTTTATAGAATAGTATAGCAATTTTCGCTATAATCGAATACAAAAGGTTAAGACTGGACTTATCGAGCCCTATAATCAACTAACTTATGTTGCTTTATAACGATGAAAAGACTCTATATTTATATCTTACGCCATTTTTATTATAATGCATGTTCGAATAAAGAAATTGATTCAATCGTTTCTCAAGCATGAATCTTCATAATTTCAACAATTTCAAAACAAGAAATGTGAGACCGACCATTTGATCGACGATGGTAGGTTCAATATTAATTAGTAGAGCTAGCTAAAAGCGATTGTCCTCTAAAAATTGCAAGATCGCATTTATCATTCTACAAGTTTTACTACAAAATATATCCAAACAAAAAAATTTGTACATTCTAATTAATTGTAGAATATAAAGAAGCTATAACCCGCCATCTTGTAGGGTTTGCTAGTTCCAATGTTAAAGTGATCTACTCCAATGAGTAAAGTATACTTGGAGTGAAAAAATGGACGAACATTAACCAATTATTCGTACTTGTTTTTACGGGGAAATTTATGTTTTCGGTTCCTCTGTACGTCGACTCGATTATGTTAAGCTAGCGTGAGCACGTCCGAAACGAAACCGAGAGCGAGATCGAGAGATCCCGGCCCATTGATCGCTCCTCGGACCGAGACCGGTTACGACTTTTATTGGACGGTGTCGTGCCACCGAGTTACCCTGTTCTCCACTTTTTCCATTTCCTCAATTTTCATCTTGGTTCGCTCGTTTGTTTGCATTTCTATTCACACTCCTGTGCATTTGATCTTGGCTCGATCTTGGCAACTTGGCATACTTCGTACAAACATCTCAGTGTTATGTCTTACTTTCATAGAAAATTTCCATTAGCCAACAACGTTCGACGCTTTTTCTATAGCATAATAATCGTCGATCTTCGATAAGGTTCGCCACGATCTGATTTCGTTCGATACGAACTCTTTCGTAGAAATTTGTCGTCGGCCAACGTTCGCCGCTTCTCTCCTACCACGATAACCATCGACGATTATCCTCCCTGTCTTTTTGCCAACGGAAACCGCAGTTCGATTCTCGCAACGTCCATTTCATCACTCCCCGTCCAAACACCGCGCGACACTCGCGTTTTTCGTGTACCCCGATCAAAAATCCCGACCATAATTCACGTGCCTCGAAACGGCAGTTGTAACACGCGAGGAAATCGATCGCGATTGCGATAGCCTGCGATTTCCGATTGGGAAATGGGACTTTCGATCTGCCGCGATCCCATAGATCAAACATTAATCTGTTCGTGGAAACACTGATTGGCTGCGGAATAACTATTCCACCGTTGAGAATCGGTCAAACGTCGCGTATACGACCGTAGATCCGGTCGCGACACCGACGACGTGAAAGGTGCTCCACGAATAGCAAACTTGTCCCGTGCGCCGACGTGAGTCACGATCCTTACCCTAATTCGTTCTACCAAGAAAAATCCGCTAAAGAGAATCGTAAAGAGCTCGTGAAATTTGTACGAAATCTGATGCGGACGCACAGGCTGTGTCTGGGCCGGGGTTTAGTTGAATCTGGTACTCACAGGAGCGCCGATTTCAGCCACATGTTGACGGGCAGGTCCTGTTTCAGGTTCTCGTTGGTCCTTGTTCTTCCTGTTCCGTAGTCGTGGACGATGTCGCGAGCTGCGCGGTAAAACACTGCGAATAAGACCGATGCGGTTCGGATGCGGTTGCGGTACTGCTGAACAAGAACACCGATCAGTATCGTCACCGGACACTCGCGACCATCGTCGTCTCCTCTTCGCTTCTTCCTCGATTTTTCACTGGGTACCCCGACGTCCCTCTGTCTCTGCACTCTCACTCTTCGTGCTCCGGTTCCCTAAGCCGGGACGAGCCTAGAGAGCGTGTGCTGTGTCTGTTGTCTGTCTCTGTGTGGGTGCGCGTGTACGCCCGCGGCTGGCCCAGCGACAGGGGGACTACCTCTCGGCCCAGGGAAAGAGAGGAACGGGGCGACGACGACGCGGTGGCGGGAAGACAGAAACGAAACGAAACGGAAAAAAAAGAACACCACTCGTGTTCCGAGCGCGCGGAGTAAAAGTAAGAGGTAGCCGAAGGACGTGGTGAGGGTATGAGAACGGCGGCGAATGCAGGCCTCTACTTATATGCCACCCACCACGGCCACCTGGAGCACACCCCACTCGAACCATGAAAACTGGACACCACGTAGCTCGAGACACTCGACTCGATGTACGCGTGTCGGGATACCGACTGTTTGGTTGGCTGCTGGGCCCGCGAGCTGCTTAGATCGCGGGGCCCGAACACGGTTCAGGAGAGATCTCGCCGCGTCTCTGCCCTGCCGTGGCCTGGGCCCGCTCTGGAGACATGCAGGGAATGATACCTACGCAGTCCGCTGGGAGCTGGGAACACTAAACGGCTTACAACTGATCCCAAAGGTATTATTTTAGGGATCTATACGCTGTTTGCAAGCGCGACATTTTTCGTAGTTGAGGACCACTGGTCGCAGGGACACAGAAGATTAAAGGTTTTGTGGATACTTGGACCTGGAACATCGACAGATCCGAAAGTCCGACTTGATTCTTGAAATTCTCTAAAATTGAGAACCTCTGTCCCAAAATTTTATGGACTCTTGGGTCAGGAATGGTATGAAACACATAACTCTATCTAAAAGTCTGAATTTGGAGACCTGGAATCGTGAAAGACTATAAAGTTGAGAATCTCTGACGAAAGGGTCTTAAAATTGGAGACCTTTGAGGCCCAAAATATTAAAAGTTCCATGGGTACAACCTGAAGTCTGATTTTGCAGACTTAATATCTCAAAACCCTTCAGTCCCAAAAATCTCGGAGCCTTCACTAAGTCCCAAATTTGTCCCAAGTCCCAAAATTAATAACATTCCATGACCGAATTCAGAACTTCCACAGCCTTGAAATTTTCCAGAATTGAGAAACCCTGTCCGGACAAGCTCGGCAAATATTGGAAGAAATCGAGACTGTAGGGACATTCGGGCCCAGGACTTAGAGGATGACGTAGCCACGTGTCCTTGCCTTCGATCGAAGCCATCGACGTACGTTCCGAAGTCGTACGAAGTTCTTAGTCATCGGCTTCGGTTCTGCGAGCAAAAATTTGATCCGTTTTTCCGCCGCGTTCTTCGCCCTACTATCCCTGATCCGGTCGTTCGCTGTTCAAGGATCCTCGAATTACGCGCCCGGGAATTCCAAGGAGGTTTCGAATCGTTCCTTGATCGACGCAACCGAACTTTCACGAATCGCGTGAATCACATGGCTCCACCGACCGCCGCTCCTTCGATCGAGGATGATCGTTCGTTAGATCCGCGAGACTAGATGATTAATCAAGCAGGTCTACCGTTAAAAATACCGCGGGTACATGTGACAATCGATCGGGAACCAGATCGAAACAGAAACTGAGCAAGATGCGTGGCGTTGAGTCGTGTCAAGTAAATCGGGTAAGTCGGGTAAGTCGGGTACAGTTACAGAGAGGCTGGGCACATCGAGTACACTGACTGATACATCGACAGAAAACAAATTCTATGAAAAATAGATTTAGACGAGGCGAGTACGTCGGGTACGTCGGCTACGTCGGGTAAATTTAGAATTAAGCCGGGAGGTCAAGTACAATTTATAAATGTATCTAGCGATAATCAGGAATAGAATGACATTAAGAATCGATTTAGTTGAGACGTGTCAGGTCGTGGCGAGTACGTCGGGTACTTTGGGTATCATCAGAATTAAGCCAGCTACATCAGGTACCATCCGTGGATGTATCTGGCGAATCGTCAGGGATCGAATCGAGTAAGTGACAGAGTAAAATGATCGACGTCGGGTAATTCGGGTATGTCGGGTAGGTCGCGGTTTCCCGCAGTGTCGTACCTGTTCAGCAGCGAGTTTTGCAGGACCAAGACGAGCCGAACGAGACCGCCCAAGGCCGCGAGGAGCGTCGCGACCCTCCGTACCCGCCACTACTCGGGATAATAAAGACAGTTGGCCCGAGTACAGGAAAGGTTCTGTCGCGAGTATCGTCGACATTGTTCCGTGTCGGCGTCTCGCATGCCTGCTCGATAAAGGGGCGCGCTCTCCTTGCCGAGAGAAAGTTCTCTCCCGCGGGGTACACGCGCGTGTCAGCCTCGGTGGGTGTACCAGCGTGCGCACGCCTACCGATGCTTTTGTCCTTTGTCAAAAGATCGCTCGCGGCTAGCCTCGGGCGTTATTCCCGCCTGTATCATCCGGCCGCCGATCAAAATTCTACGCTCCTCGCGGTCTAGACCCGAGGAACAAGCTCCGAGTGAGCCGCGAGCCGCATACTAAGCAGCCTGGCTCGGCTTTGGCAGCGGGAAGACGACGCGGCATTAAAGATACAATCCTGACATTTCGTCCCCGAGTCTCGTTCAGAGACGTTTTCCAGAAAGTTCGTTGTTAATTGGACACGGAAGATTCGGCGAGTACCGTTCCGGGCGCGAACGATCGGTTCAGGTGTTTGACGCGGGCCCCGCGACACCACGCTGCCGTGGATCGATGGATCGCGACGACTCTCGACGCTCGATCACGGATCGCTGTACGGTTGGCCTGGCCTGGGCCTAATGGGTCGACATTCTTCTTGCGCAACGAGGCGTAAAGACCTTTAACGCGGCTGCCTTCTGGTTCTGGCCGCTGCGCTCCGCTCCGCTCCGGGCTGGATGGTTTATATGATTACGGAACTCGGGCCTTTGCCGGGCCTTGACACCTGCGACGCGCAGCCGTGCCGCGGCGGGAACGTTATTTAGAACGCCGTGTGGAATTGTTTCTAGAAACAAGACTCGAGTGATGTGGGGATTGACTCGAGCCGGGTATGCCGGATACTTCGGCCGAACGGACCTACGCAACAGTAGATCCAACGGGATGGGTAAACGCGCTGGAAGAAGCTCGCGTTGAATAGGTCGGGTTGGCCGGGTACATTGGATACATTAAACGGATTGGATAAATTGGAAAAGGAAGGAAATTCAGGCGATGTTCGCGAGCAGATCCGCCTTGAATGAGGAAAAGTTTGTGTCGGGTGAGTCGGGTAAGTCAGGTAAATCGGGTACTTTGGGTATACTGTATAACAGTTTGAACAAATTGAACGAGAAAGGTGAATCATCTCGATACTTGATTGTAAACGAACAGATACCTTTTGTATGTGGAAATACTTGTGTCGGGTTGGGTACAGAGGGTACATCTAATAACGGGTAAGTTGATATATCTAAGCAGACAGCTTTCCTATGTCGGAAAAATTGTGGCGGATTGGCCGAGTACGCTGTGTGCACCGAATAAATTGAACAAGGACCGTAATAAGTGGCTATAACACTTTCTTATACGTCGTAAAGTCTGCGTCGGGTGCCGCGGGTACAGCTGTCGCGAATTTTGGCCGTGGCAGTATGTAAAACTATGAGCGGTTCGTCCGCTTTCGCCTGGATTCCGAACGTACCCTAAATCGCGGGCCGAGTCCGCGATGGTATCTCGATGATTTTTGAAATGTTCTGCGTCGTCCCCGGGCTCGAAAGCGTATCGAGAAATCGCGTGAACCGTAAAGGTCGATTGAAATGCGGCTCGAGTCCCGCGAAAGTGCAGTCAAGGTTCCCTCATCCCGAGCACGCGTCGGTTTCTCGCTCGAATGTGCCGATCCGCACGAAATCCCAGCGGGTTCTAGCCGGCTCGTCGGACGGGTCCGAGATCCTTTGTCCCGGGGCCGGACGAGAGGGACGCGTGCCCACACGAGAGAAGCTGTTTCCGAGATGCGTCACGTCGCATTCCGGCCTCGAGATGCGTTTTGCAAGCGTTCCGACCGTTTTGTACGCGAAAAAGTATCCCGGGATTGCGAGACGGTCTCTCGCGATCCTGATCGAACGGGGAAGAACCGCAACGATATCGCTCGTTTACCGAATCGTTTCGTAAGCCTATTTTCTGCATGGCTTAACAAGTGCACCATTTCCCTCGGCGGATCTCCCGGCCGTCGTTACGCGCCTCTATCAAAAGACTCGTAAAGTTACGCGGGGGACAGTTCCGAGCACCGACGAAACGGTAGCCGTCTAACCGTAATTTTCTGGAGGTGCACGCTGCACCTGCGTTCACGGGTGCGCCTCAGTCAATGGCCGGCCGTATTTAGCCTTCGATTTGTACGCAGAAGGTCCGCGGCCGCAGCGGATATAGTAGGCGCCCGGCTGAATGGTAATCGACCCGCGCTTTAAACGACCGTCGTCGGTCTGGTGCGAGATAAGGCCAGATAAGGATCTGCCGACACCATCCTCGGAATACGGTAATAGGACGGATCATTGTCGTTCCTAATTACAACGGGTCTTGAATGATTCTTAAGCGACTCAAGCTTTTGGTCAAACGAGGAGACTAGGATTATACAGGGTGTTCAAAGTATCGGGATACAACCGGCAAGGGGATAAATTGAGTGCATCAAGTCCACTAGTAAACTTTCTACTTAATTTACTTGATTTATCCGATGTACCTGACATACCTAATTCAAGCCTTTTCTCATGAAAGAAGTGATAAATTGAGTACGTCAAGTCCACTAGTAAACTTTCTACTTAATTTACTTGATTTACTTGATGCACCTGATGTACCTAATTCAAGTCATTTCTCATGAAAGAAGTGATAAATAGAATACGTCAATTCCACTCGTAAACTTTCTACTTAATTTACTTGATTTACCCGATGTACCTGACATACCTAAATCAAGCCTTT